GTAGCAAGGCATGGGCGATGTAACAGCATGGACAGTGAGGCATAGCTTTACAGGGTACTATATGAGTGCCTCAGAGCATGGAAGATATACCAATCCATATACAGTGCTATATAGTTTTACAAGGTAATTATACTAGAGTTTTAAGGCAAGGTATAGACAGGGTTTGATCATGCTTATAGCACGCACTGCGCATGTTAACAGGCACACAACGTTATCAAACCTGTGGCAACACGACAGAGAGGTGACAGTAATCTTTATTCACTCTCTTACACGCACGCACGCACGCACACACGTATGTATGTATGTATGTATGTATGTATGTATGCATGCATGTATGTATGTATGTATGTTGTATCAGTTATACGTATATTGTGCATGTGCATGTGCGTGTATTGTTACGTTGTTATTTCACTTGAAAACAAAGCACCGCGGTACACTTCACATTGCTGCATGCTGAGCTAACAACAAAACAAGAGTTACTTTTTGAGGAAAGAATGTCTGATTTTCCAGTATATACTGTCTTAATTATTTATTTATTTTTCTTTCCTTTTTACTTCAATGCATTGTCTATCTTACTTTTAATGTCTCAGCATATGCACATAGAGTGTAAATGTGTGAGTGATGTCCATGTCGGATGTTTTCACAAGAAACAAAACCCAAAACTTAGAAATCCTCGTCTTAATTCTTTTATGCAATAGGTAACAGGGATTTCTGTAATTAAACAATAATTAAGAAAAAAGAAGACAAACAACAAAAATAAAACAAGAGTTTCATTTTTATAAATGGAGGAATAATTTCTCTTCTGTTTGTCACATTCCCTTGACAAATAACTAACAGGACGATAAAGTTGAAACGGGAGGAGGGAAATTCGTGTTGCGTCATTATTCTACATACATAAAACAAAGTCGAGATATTTGTGCCAGTCCTACATGAACGCACCAACTTTCTCTGTCCAACGGCTCAGTTGTGAACACGTACAGGCAGCAAATGCGACCCAAAACCAAATAGCACAGAAAGAGTGAGCGAGTGAGTAAGCGAGTTTTACGTCATTTTTAGCAATATTCCAGCAATATCACGGCGGAGGGCACCAGAAATGGGCTTCGCACATTGTACCCGTGTAGGGAATCGAACCCGGGTCTTCGGCGTGAGAAGAGAACACTTTAACCACTAGGCTGACTCACCACCCTGGCACAGAAAGAAACGACAGGCGGAAACTTCAAAGTGTCACATAACACATTATTGTCTCATGGAGAGGTATTGAAAATTGCATGATTCGTTTTCAGGGGAAACTAAGGGCCTATTCGATTGTGCTAAACCGGTTTTGGTTTCGGGAAAACCATGCACCCGATTATGTCGAAACCTAAAACTGGGTTCTGAAACTTCGAAACCATCTCCGAGGCAGGTTTCGCAGTTTCAGTTTCGCGTTCTCTCACAACAAACATGGCAGAAACGAAAGCGCCAAGTTCAGCTGATCTTGGTGGCAAAATAGAGCAGCTGTTTTTGGAACCAAAATAATGATAAAAATCAACTGAGAACTAGGAAAATATTATTTAAAACCCCAGTCTATAATTGAACATGACTATTTTATGTAACTTGTATATATATAATTACTTGTACTTATAATTACAAATACGCAAATATTTACCTCCAAAAGCATTTCATCTCTTTATTTTTTGTTAATTCACTGATAAAATGGAAAACATATGCTGTCATCCAATTCGTTCCACATATACAGTAGCTGAGACATTTTTTTGGTATCCATTTTGCAACCGGATGGTGAAACCATCCACTCGTTTATAAAACTAGAAACTAGTTTCACTTTGAAACCATGTATCCGAAACTAGACACTCGTTTATAACAGGAGAAACCAGTTTCAAAAACCAAAACCAGTTTCGCAATAATCCAACAGGACCTAGATAGCAGTTTTCACGCGCACGCCGTGGAGCTGGTTTTCATGGCGCATGTCGTTTTCAAAAGTCATCCCAGTAATAATTCGATAAAGTAAACCATAGACAATACAACACAAAAACAAGCGACAGATCATCAACAACTGAAGGTAGATCACCATTGGGCCTTACGGTACGTTTGCTTCCTGCATGGACCCTGGCTGGATAATTTACACCATCACCTTTGCCGTTGACGATTGTGCTGGCTGAGTATGGTTTTACGCCGTTTTTAGCAATATTCCAGCAATATCACGGCGGGTTGACGATTGTGCTTTTTATTTGTTTACAAAACATATTTCTCAAACCTTTGCTAGGATCAAGCATCTAGTCATAGCACGAGTCTAAACTCATATCTCAAACTCTGTACATAAGGCTTTCAGTGGTGGCTGTCAAGGTTACCGGATGTCCTACATATTGAGCATCAGAGGGATGAAACCAGTTTCGCAATAATCCAACAGGCCCTAGATAGCAGTTTTCACGCGCACGCCGTAGAGCTGGTTTTCATGGCGCATGTCGTTTTCAAAAGTCATCCAGTTACAGGGATTGTTTTAGAATGCCTAGATTCAGTAATAATTCGATAAAGTCCCCGTTTTTATTCTTTTGGCGAGATATTGAGAACATAGAACCACCATAAATCGTCCATGAATCAGAGACATCCCGAATTACTACAGTATAATGAAGGAGCTCTGTCTCATCGTCCTTCACCTTCGAGACAGGAAGCTCACTTACAACATATACTGAGTCAAAAAAGAAACTTCACATTCTTTCTACAGGGCACTATAAAAGAACAAGAGATGGTAAGATGGTTAAATTGTTATTATTTCATTGCTGAGATCTGTGTGATGTACTCGATACACTGACAGTGCCATAATCAGTTCCATTAGGCTACACTGCCGTTCCAAAACATGGGTATACAGAATGTCAAGTCACAAGAATAAAAATGCGAAATTTCTCAGTTCAATATCGTGTATGGCAGCCCCGCGCATTCACCACTGCCAAACACCGTCTCCACATCGACTGCCTGATGCTTGTGAACAGGTGGTTGGGGATTCTGCGCCATTGCTCTTGCAAGGCAGCCAAGTTCCTGCAAATTCTGAGGTTGGTTCCTAAGACCACGAAGCCTTCTCCCAAGTGCATCCCAAACGAGCTCTATTGGATTAAGGTCAGGGGACCTCGATGACCAGTCCATGACGTTGATTCCAGCGTTTTGAAGGAAAGTTCGTGTCAACATCGCGGTATGCGGCCGAGCATTATCATGCTGGAACTGTAGACCTGGGCCATGAGCCGCCATGAAAGGAACGAGTTCAGGGGGTGAGCACCTGGTCGCGTAAGCAGCAGCTGTGAGGTTTCCACGGATGACCAGAAGTCGGGAACGGTTGTTCCCACAGAAAGCACCAACACCATGCAACTTCCCCGAATCTGTCGACTTCCTGTACACAACATTGGGCATACCGTTCACGACACGTCGTCTCCAGACTCTATGCCTGCCGTCCGCGCGAATCTGAGGGTTACCTGGATTCATCGGTAAAGACGACTCGATTCCAGTCTCTCTGGGTCCATCGGAGGTGACGTTGGGCCCACAGCAGACGTTGACGTTGATGAAACGGCATCAATATTGGCCCACGATATGGACGTCGAGAATGGAGATTGGCAGCCCGCGAACCGATTTCGAATGGTCTGTGAGGACAGTCGACCTCTAAACATCTCAGCCCTGGTTCGTGTAGCTGGCAGAAATCTGTCACGTAGGTGACGAGGACGATTTGACGGTCGTTCTGTTCGTGACGTCACACACGGGACGACCCGACCTTGGGCGATCAGAAGTAGTGCCAGTAGTGCCAGTGCCAGACGACCTCGCAAGTCATACACAGTACGACGGCTGCATCCCATTGCTCTTGCGACGTCAATAACTGATCTTCCCGCTTGCAACATGCCAACGGCACGTTCACGTTGCACATTTGACAATCGTTGCATTTCAAGTACCGTTAGAACTGTGGTTTAAAAGTGTTTTTTCAATTCTTGAGGCCAATGCAAACACGTGCATATGAAGAAAACTTCGATGCGAAGATCACGTGATCGACTGCACGTGCAAAACCTGATTTGGCACTAACGTCATTTGCACGACGAATGGATGGGTTTGAGTGGGTTTTGCTAACGATTTTTCTAGAGTCGAAAGATAGGGATCCCATTTCGGATACATAGATGTATCATCAGAGAAAAATTATTCATTATTTTTCAAATTACATTTTGTGAAGTTTCTTTTTTGACTCAGTATATTAAGTAGATTTGGAAGTCTTTCTGTGACAACTAACAGATGTGCCCCCATATAGCTGGAATATTGCCGAGTGCCCTGTAGAGCTGACCTCACCTAACAGATATCAAAGAGCCATTACGAAAGCTCAAACTGACCATATCAAGGTGAGCAATACCAGTTAGATAACTTGATATACTGAGTTAATGGAAAATCAAAATCGAATAGAAAATGGAATCATTTCCAAAGATACTATGTCCCAAATTGGTGATGGATCGCTAGCCACTGTCAGTAGTTATTTTACCTGGTCTCGCCTCATGACTGTCACAGTTCCCACTATATACAAGTGTGCGGAATAGTTTCCAAATTTTGCTAGCCAGTAGGGCTAGCTATGCCTGAAAGTTACTAACCCATAAAATAATTCACTAGACCGAAATCTGAACGCAGAAACTAAGCAAAAGATTTAAAAAATGAAGAATAAGAATATTGTCAGCATGACACCGAGTTCATCATTAAGCTGCTAATATGGTGAACATTTTATGAGGCCATAATCTTGCATGATTTAAAAGTGTATTACAATTTAACAATTCGGAGAGAGTGATATATTTACAAAATGACCCATGAAAATTCACTAGCCAGTCCGGCCAGTGACGTGGAGATTTACTGGCCCAACTGGATTTTACTAGCCACGGGCTAGCAGGCCAGTGGCTATTTCGCACAGTGTACATATGACAATGTTTGTGATGGGTTGGATTTGGACTAAGCACACACTTCCAAGTAAGTTCAAAGTAAACAAGAAATGAATCTGAAGGTTTGAAGAATTCTTTAATGGAACAAACTGCTTCTCAGTTGACATAAACAGTATAAGTTACTAACAATGGCTAACCAGCGCCTACTACGACTACTGTAACACTTGAACAGTTAAATAATTAGCTTGTAAGAAACAAACGTTTACCTCCCCAGTAGTCAATGCACATTAGCATTTGGAGTACCTTGCCATTTCTAACCTTTTCAACAGGTAACCATGGTAAAAAAAGATAAAAACACATTTTGCTGGAACACAATCTTGAACAGAAATTGAATCTCTTTCATAACAAGGGGTATTCATGTTGAGACACTGAATAATTTAAGCCACAACAAATTAACTAATTGTTCCTTATAATGTATTTGTGGCTAATAACTGACTATGTATGACAAGGCAACTGAATTCAAGTAAATGGATGTAACTAAAACGCCCCAAACTTTTACAACTTATTTTATTTAAAAATAGAATATGTTGTCAATTCAACAGAAATTGAAAAAGACAAAGACAAATATTTAAGGAACAAATAATCACTCTGTGGTGGCCTTCCTATCCTTACCTATGGAATATCAAAACAAAAGAAAATACACCTTAACCATCTTCCAAAGTAAATATGCATTTGTTCACAAAAACATAATACAAATCAAACAAGAATCTTAGGGACGTTTTTAGATATCACAAAGGTATCTTGACCATAGACAGCCACAATTCTTTTCAAACTTAACCAAATTTGTTTACTTTTGCCTGCTCAAACCATGAGGTCAAAGCAATGTAAACCATGAAACATAAATATCTTGTTCATCCCTGCCCGACAATGCCAAAAGAGAGAATATACTGCCATTCGGTATATTACAACCAAGTGGTCAGTGTGGTCAGTATTTACTGATACTGGGACAGAGGATGCAGCAGATTCCCAGCTTGTCCTTGTCAACAGATGTCATGAGGAGCATGATGGAAGCAACCCTGCAGCCGTGTCTAGATGCTGGAACAGTGGCGACTGCAGATGGAATGATTTAATGCTATATACATCTATGTACATTGTTCACTGTACACACACATATATATAATCTGGATGGACAGATGGATGGGTGGATGGACTGGCTAATTTTCTGGCGCCTCCTGCTCTGCTTGGGGCTCATATTGCTGCATCTGAAAACCAAACATTTCATCAGGATGATATTTTGCTAAGTGAATGAGTTTCCAGCTACATTATGGTAACAATTGTTTGGAACAGCCCATACAGTCATCAATATTGTGCACAATAATCCATGTTATTATGTAAGCATATTTTCCCGGCTACCTGATTGGTCTAGAGGCGGTCATGTCACCGTCGACTGAAAAGCATATTGACTCCAACCAAGGTCCGACCAAAAGTCATATTGACTTGAGTTACTAAAATTAGATTTTGACGTCAAGCTATGACGTCATTCTATTGTTTACATGTCACAGTATTGTTGACATAACGTTAATGGACTGACTGACTGACTGAGTTTGGTTTTACGCCGCTTTTAGCAATATTCCAGCAACATCACGCAGGGGACACCAGAAATGGGCGCCACACACTGTACCCATGTGGGGATTCGAACCCGGTCTTCGGTGTGACGGCGACCAAGGCCAGCGCTTTAACCACTAGGGCTACCCCACCGCCCCTAACGTTAATGGTTTGTAGCGAAAATAAAATTACTTTTCATGACTAAATGGACATGAGTTGGTTTTTAGAAGCTTTTTTTCGGTAATTACATAATAAAACAATTATGGACTGGTGAATTCACCAGTCTATAACTGTATAGTATTGTGCTTTTAGAGAGGACAGGTCATCAACCTAGTCACCAAATACCATAATCCATCTGGTCACTTCTTACAGTCTGTATTGGTTGCTGGGGACCCAATTCCAATTCCATCTCCACTATATGTCATCACCCAGGAAATATTCATGTCTGGACCAGACAATCTAATAACTGCTATTAAGAGCATCAGACATGCAATCAACCAATTTACCCAGCATAACAACTTGATGACTGAAGTTGCCTCTCCATCCATCAGTAGGATGAATAATGCAAATGTTCAGAATGTCCTTCAATGCATTAACATTACATTACTTTACTTCACTGAATTTCCAAATGTCAATGTTTGTTATTTAATTGCATTCTCAACAATTTTCCAGTTATATGAGTGAGCGTAGTTTAGTTTCACGCCGCTTTTAGCAATATTCCAGCAATATCACGGTGGGGTACACCAGAAATGGGCTTCACACATTTTACCCATGTGGGGAATAGAACCCGGCTCTTCGGCGAGACGAGCGAACACTTTAACCACTAGGCTACTCCACAGCCCCTCCAGTTATTATAATGGTAGTCTGTAATCAATTGATTCTGGACCGGACAATACACTGATTGACAACATAAGCATCAATCTAAGGGGTTAGGATACAGTAACTTGCATCAGCGATCCTTACCACATGATGCTGTTGGTTGCCTCTTATGACAAGGAAAACCATTTCTGATCCAGACCTTCACAGGTCCCAAATGTCCATGAATCCATTTACCAATTATAACTGTACCATTATTGATTCAGCATGTGCATGAAACAGCTTATTCTGAATGTAAATCATAGCTACAGAAGCAAGCCTAGCCTCCATCACCAGCAACCACTGATCATGCTAAGACACAAAAGACATGCTGAGATTCATTTCAACAGTCACAACTATAATGACAGTGCATTTCTATTTATGAAAAAGTATGATTGAAGAATTATACCTTAAAAAGGACAAACAACATTCGATCCTTGAAGTTTTAAAAAAAAATTAAGCCTCAGTTCTGATCACGACTCAACAATGACCCTGACATGACTCCCAACCCACCTTTGATTTGAGCTCATTGTTCTCTTCCTGGAGTTGCTCACACTTAGCCCTCAGTTCAGACACCTCAAGCTTGAGGGCTTCTACATCAGCTGTATCCGGACCAGCTGCTCCAATATGTTGGCGCAAAAGCTGTACTGTCAAGGAACGTAACCACATGTTGCAGTGGGTATATAGGAGCATCTGTACCATAGCCTCTATGTCAGCTATATGGAATCTCAGACAAAAGAGAGGGTTGCACTGATGACACTGTTCAACAGTATCATATTTGTCCATCTTAAGACCAAGACCTATTCAATACATACCAGTGTACCACCCAAAGAACAACCGATTCCATTAAATCACTGCAGATGTCAATGCAGTTTAATTTTAACATAAAAGAATAGGATTGTTCTTAACTTCTTTTGAGCAAAATACATAGGATTTCAATTGCTAGCACATGAGACAAAATATTTGTAAAATAAGATCCATTTATGAATTTGCAGTGGACACTGGTTATGATAAGTTATTTTGCAAACATTTGTGTAACAATGGTAACTATGGCAACCAAAATCCTAGGTGGCAAAATATATAACCGAAAGAAAGTGCTACCTTTAAGTTTAACCCAGCAAGCTATTCTTATCTGCATGCTGAACACCCTTTGTAATCATCAAAAGGGGCTATTTACTCTCAGTTTCATTAAAACCATAAGCATGCTTACTTTGCAATAGATTTTACAAGTCATATAAACCATGTTAACTGTTTCAAAGAGTTCATATGATGGGAAAGGATACTCTAGAGCGTTGTTTGGCTTCTCTGGCTCCTCATAAAGTCCAACAAGAACTGTGGAAGAAACAACATTTTTGTAAATAGGATCAATAGGTGAGGTGAAATTTGGTTTAACGTCGTGCTTGAGAATATTTCGCTTATATGACGACGTGCATGCGTGTGTATGTGCGGCTGCTTGTACTAGCCCAGACTTAAGCTGGTTTTATAGTGCTAGCCCACTGAGATACCATGCCGCAGTGAAGCATGAATACCCCACTCAGACACATTATATAGACTCCGAGCCGACCAGTCCTTGTTGTACCCATTAATGCTGAGCGCCAGGCAGGGACCAACAAGTACCATATTTTAACGTCTTTTGGTATGACGCGGTCGGGGCTCGAACCTGCGATCAATAATGAAAATTGATACCAACATTATCAAACAACCAATTCACTGTTATCAGGGATAACTGGTTTCAATGAAAATCATACTAATTGACATGTTGGGGAGTAACAAAAATAACCTGTCACATATGACAAACTACATGCTTCCACATGGGAATACTGCTTACCTTTTGTGAGAGCGTCTAAGACACCTGCCTTCTCCAGGTATTTCCTGAACTCCTCTCTCTTGGAATCTGCTGCCTGGCAACCAGATTGTTTTGGGTTAGTGTGAGCTTTGTACATGTTACCATATTTCATCTCTACCACCATGCTCAATAAACAATACCTTGGACAGCAATCAACGACTGTAACACATGTTAATATTTGTTTTTTTGGGATTACTGTACTTGATAATTTTTCATTAATTCATTTGTGCAACATGCAGGACACCTGTGGATAAATGCTTCAACATTTGAGGAGAAATCACAGGTAGTATTCTCGAAACCAGACGATTCTGTTGTCATGGTGACTGGTTTATTTCATGTGTGCAAATAAGACGCTTCTTTCACATCTTCAATGTCTGCACTCACTGACTCACATCACTGCAGAACATCTGCCTGTCAGTGTCAGTCAGAAAAGAAATTTCCAGTTTTATCCAAACTATTCAACAGCTTGAGATGTTCATTGCAGCTGGAAAACAAATTACAGACGAAGGAACAGGGGAATCCAGCAATACTCGTTTGGCCGAATGTTTCTGTTACACAAAATGAAAACGTGGTAACATCGCGCTGTAAGACTACTTTGACGGTGGACACAAAACATGCAGAAAAATATAAGAACGTAGCTTTAGAATCTACATTTCTTTTCAAGAAACTATAAATGGCTGCCCCGTGTACAAATACAAACTTACCCTGTAAGTAGTCATTGTGAGCGCACGGAGTCCTGAAGAAATGTGATAGATATTAGCGACGGCGAAGGATTTCAACAACTTTCAGGTTGCTACAGCGATAACGCGCATGACCGGAAGTTGCAGTTTTGTTATTGATAAACGTATTATTATGGTTATTTTGTACTTTTCTGGTAATTATTTTCCTGTTATATTATTTAAATACAATACGATATAACTACCATAAAAATAAAACTGCTTTTAACGGCATATTTTACAAAGGGAGATAACCGTAAATTTACCGCCATATTTGAACATGTGGGAATGTTTACAAGTGCTTGTCAAAACCGAAAATGGATCTGACAGATGTTGATGTGGCACCCTCTTACTTCATGCCAAGATGTATCAACAACTGAAGGGCAGACGATTGCATACCATTATTATCTAGGGTATTTAATCTTTTCTATTATTTGATCAGAAAAAGTCTAACTTGACCTAATGAGTAATGTTGATGTCACGGTAGTTCATATGAATAAACTCGTATTCCAGCCAAAGCCTACATCGAGCAGACCTTGTCGTCTAGTTATATGCTGGACTAATGTCACGGATGATGGAAGTCGGAAATCAGTTATATGTTCCTTTCATCTGTATAACTTTGGCATAGTTTATATAGCTCTGTTTATCTTAGGTTGACAGCTGTGGAGTTTGCTTCACATATCTTACATTGATCTTCGAACTCTATGGTTAGTCAGTCACCTCAACTCTCCTCAGGCTTTGGATCCCATTTTCAACACCTCTTAGGGACCGTTCGTAATTTATGGCTAGGAGGGGTGATGATGATTTTAAGGGGTGGGGGTATCACCCATTTTGTTCTGGGGAGGTTACTAAGGAGGGTCATCAATTTTGTGCAAATGTACGGGGGGATTCAGCAATTTTGTACATAAGAATATTAAAAAAATTATGCTTAAAATTATGGGAAGAGGTGGGTTGGCATCTGGGGGGAAGGGCTGGGGGCTGGGGTGTGTCACTTACTTTGTGCATAAATTGTAGGCAGGGGCATTCACAATCACATATTGTACATGATTCTCCATAAAAATCATCATCAACCCCCTAGCCATAAACTATGAATGGTCCGTTAGTCCTCTTCATCCTCCAGTTACTAGAGTTTATGCACCCCTTTAGGATGTGGGTGAGCATACTCTTTTGATGAATTTATTCCATTTAAATTTAGGAAGATTTGTACTATTTTTATCAAATTTCAGTTTCACAGAACAAATGGCTCATGTGCATGCTCATAAAAGTAAACATGGGATGCTGATCCCTAAGTTTATGAACATTATATGTGATGGCGCCTGTAGTCCTATGGTGAATTGTTGGCTAAAATGATCACCTCATTAACCTAGCTCAGCATCAAACTGGCGAATAACTGGGAACGATAATTGAAATTTGAAATATGAAAAAGTGAGCCAGGTAAAGTGCATTAATCCCAAATTTCCTTTGTCTTTTACCATAAACTGGTATCCCATTCAAGCACTTTTTATGTTTGAGTGTAGTGCCAATTCAAATGGTGCTGGGTAAAATGGCCCCATGTTTTAACATTCTTAATCAGATTAAATATCATTAGCTAGAACCTTTCATCTACTTCTATGACTATGAGAAGGCTAGGGAAACCTGTACTTACAAATCTGAAGTGTTTGTCAATGTGTGTGTTATCATGGTAATATAGTTATCAAATACATGGGTCTTCTTTGATTGGCATTCTAGAAGCTGGGTAGATGAAGAATGATGACTATTTTTATGAATATACAACCTCTTTATCTGTATGGCCTTAGGCGACGTTTCGACATAGATCCTAATGGTGCTTGACAACGACATTAGGATCTATGTTGAAACGTCGCCTATACAGAATAAAGAAGTTGTATATTCATAAAAATAGTCCTCATTCTTCAAATAAATGTGTGTTGAATATATACTTCTAGTAATATTAGAGGATCAGTAGATTTTACTTTCTTTAGAAATATAATGCATTTACATATTTTACCCGTTTGCCTTTTTATGTTTGTCTATTTTTTTTCATCCTTTAGGGGTGTCATCACTTATCTTTTGAACAATTTTGAGAAAAAACATAGTTTTCAGCACCATTACCACCACTGTGATTTATTTTTGCACAGTTGCTGGTGTGTTCCAAGAAGAAATTAGGGTTACTTGTTACCATGGTTTCGGAAATATGAGGCTTCCTTCTCATGAAAATGAATGCACCTTTGGATCATTATTTCAATTGATGAGTACTTAACTGGTCATTATCACATGCTATGGTTAGATGTTATCCAGTATGAATCATACTGTTGTGTGTGAGCAGACCAGTCTAAGTAAACTTAGTCTCAGTATTATTCGTTACATTACCATATACTGAGTCTAACAAACCCCAGTAGAAGGTCGTTAGCTAACCTTTTGGGTTGACCAATCAGAACGCAGCTTGCCAAATTGTGAAAGTTAACATTCGCACATACAGTTTGAACTTTTACCTTGAAAACTCGAAAAATTCTGAATGCTATTTTCTGCACGATCGCTTCCGAGTGATACACATGGAGGACACATTATTCACAACAGCGAGTAAACAGTCGCTGAAAATAGCACTTTTGTCAATATTCCAGGATGTCATCTTGTGGAATAGTAACCACGTCATCAGAAACCTCTAATCGTATATACTGCAGGTCAAATATCTGTGTTTTATGCGGATTTTCGTTTGTTGAGAGATCAGTGTCAGCGATCAGGGAAGAGAAAACCCCAAAACCGTTTTGTAAGTCCAGCCGAACCCTAAATAGTATTGTTGTCTTATTGGTTAAATCCGTTCGCCATCTTGCGTTTGATTGGACGGTCATAGGTTGCTCAAAGGTTAGCTGACACGACCTTCTACTAGGGTTTGTTAAACTCAGTATAGCAGTGTGACTTAAGTCTAAGTGTTTACTTAGGCTGATGATCAGACACCTCTTTGAAAACTTCAAAAATTTGTTTTCAATAACCTGAATAAATGTAAGTGTATTTAGTGTACATAATCATCTGTAGGATTGCAGAAAATCCACTAGGAGAGGTATATGATACATATCACAAATATCAGATAACAGATACAAATATTGGATAACGAATACAATAACAAGTCAACAGTTGATGTTAATCACTAAGTTCACTGAAACAAAAACAAAATAATTATTTGACATGTTTTGACCATATTGATTGTGTTAATTTATCTTGACAATGACCAGTTACCACTGTCAAATTAGATATATACCCGTGAGACCCATGAGGGTCCGGGTTAGAATATTGGTCTTCAGCAACCCATGCTTGTCGTAAGAGGTGACAAACGTGATCAGGTGGTCAGGCTCGCTGGCTTGGTTGACACATGTCATCGGTTCCCAGTTGCGCAGATCGATGCTCATGCTGTTGCTCACTGTATTGTCTGGTCCAGACTAGATTATTTACAGACGCGCCATATAGCTGGAATATTGCTGAGTGTGTCGTAAACCTAAATTCACTCACTCACTATACCCGTGAAGGTCCGGGTTAGAATTGATTTTCAGTAACCCATGCTTGTCGTAAGAGTTGACTAAAGGGATAGGGTGGTCAGGCTCGCTGACTTGGTTGACACATGTCATCGTATCCCAGTTGCGTAGATCGATGCTCATGCTGTTGATCACTGGATTGTCTACTTCAGACTCAATTATTTACAGACCGCCGCCATATAGCTGGAATATATTGCTGAGTGCGGCGTAAAACTCACTCACTCAAATTACATATATAAACATCTTGGTTATTATTCTGTCTGGCTAGGATATATCCCATTTTGCACATCTCATTTTGATAAATAACACACGAATAGATAGAGTAAGATCACACCGAATAAAATTTGGGAATATTGGATTCTGGTGATGGTGAAAATGAATTGAATTCCTGAATGGATAGGGTTGATTCACTAAATATGTGAGCGAATCGTAACAGCCGTATTGTAGACATATTGTAAAATACCTTTATAACGAACTCCAAGGGACCACTGAAATTAGGTCGTTATATCCGTAGTTCGCTATTCACTTTTTATATGATAATATAAGGTTTATTCGGGACTTTTAAAACAGTTCGCTATAGCCGTCAGTTCGTTATATCCGTGTTTGTTATAAAAGTATTCTACTGTAGACAGGTTAGGGAAGTCATTTCAACCAAATAATTGTCATGCTTGTCAGTAGTTGTTGTTTTAGAAGTAACTTCTATCTATTTTAGGCTCTTGGCTTGATTTACAGATTTTGACCCATTACAGCTTTCATTTTCATTTATACAAATTGATTAACACATTTAACTTTATACTCAGATCAACTGCTGACCATCCGTGATGGACAGCCTGTCAGATTTGATGAGCTGCTGTCGTGGCCTGGACACTGACAAGGTTACAGAGAGGAAAGTAGGTGCACCTCAGGATTCACTGAATGTGTCTCAGCTGAATCATTTGTAACATCAATTGTCATTTTATGTCACCATGGTTACGTTTCTACCCTGTCAGACTTGGAATGAGAAGTCCCCATGCTCATCATATGAGGAGATTTATGCCAATGGATTGTATGGTCATACTTAGTGACTTATTTGATTTTGTGTCATCATGGTACCAGGAATTCACGTATTTAGGCCCATGCGAAATTTAGCCCATGGGCTAAAATACAGGATTTTTTTCCGTATTTAAGCCCATGGGCTTAAATTTGGATTTAATTCTTTGGTGGTTAGAGTGACAGCCCTTTCCAAACGCGGAGACTTTGACTTTGAATAGTGTCACTGCCATAGATATCAGTCAGTCACTCCTGTCATATTAGTTTGAAGTTAAAATGTTCATGAATTCAGAATAGATCTCGTCACTATATGGCTGGAATAATGCCGATGTGATGTAAAGTCCAACTAAACTCAACGCAAACTATTAGTTTGAAGTTCATGTTTTGTGTTGAAAAGACTTTTATAACTTCAACATTCCATTCACAGTTGGAATACTCACTCGAGGGAACATTTTCACAGCTTTGAACTCTGAAAACAGTGTGGCTCCAAATACTCACTGTAGAGACTAGTAGTGGTGGTCTGATTAATGGAAATAATCCAAGATTGGTCGTAGTGACTAAACGACCAAGCAATCGATCATAATTTCTCTTAATCGAACACAAACAATTCTGGAACACTTGTTGTTATTAACAATATTTTTCACATGGTTGGTTTTGTCTGTTACATTTCGTAAGCACTACAAGCTTGTTTCAAGTCATGATTGAATTTATCTTAAAGATTCCAAGAAATGTATGTTCCTAACATACTAGTCATCCTTTAAAGATGTGAAATTTTGAAAAAATACCCCCAAAGAACTACATTTCTTTCCCTTATTTTTATGTGCATTAACAAATTTCATAATTGACGCTAACCAATTATTTTCGATGATTGATCGGTAGTAATGAACCAGTCCTCAATTATGAGAGTTTAACCAATTCCCAACACTAGAGACTAGTCATTGTCTTAGATGTAATATCATAATAGTTTGAAGTTCATGTTTTGCATTAATGACTGTCTACTTTGTCATTCACATTCACATATACTCACTCGAGTAAACATTTTCATAACTTTAAAGTTTGAATTTATAGACCAGTTTCCCGATTAAAGAAAAAAAAAAAATAGTCCTGATTCTTTTCCAAAATATTGTGCATTTTCGAATTTAAGCCCAGGGCTTAAATATGGTTAAAATATTTCATCACTAGAACAGTGAGTTTCTGTATTTAAGCCCCGGGCTTAAATATGGTTAAAATATTTCATCACTTGAACAGTGATTTTCTGTATTTAAGCCCCGGCTTAAATCTGGAAAATCAATCACTGGTTTGGCTGGTCAAGCCTGATGTTATATAGCTGGAATGGTTCCGGGTCGTTCCACCCCACACACCTACTCCCAGTTCCCGACTGTGTGGACGTGGTAAGATAAACGTTCTAGCGTTGAATGTATGTGGTTTGAGATCCCGTCTTTTAAACCCAGACTTTGTGCAAAAGATATCCCAATATGACATTCTGTGCCTAACTGAAACGAAAACGTGTGATGTTGACATTATTAATATTCCTGGATATTCGGTATGTATGAATAATAGGATAAATGACCAACACGTCAGGACTTCAGGAGGAATCGTTTTAGCAATCAGTCAAGCAATTGCCAAGCATGTTAGTGTGCTTGATATTTCACATGAGATTGCTACGTGGTGTAAATTATCCAGAAACCTACTTCAGACACAGTGTGATATTTATCTCGCGTGTATGTATATTCCCCGAGGAGAACAGCAGATTCGCCTCACTCTAACATTTTACTGTATTAGAGGATGACATAATCAAATACTCGAATCTCTCTGATAATGTCTGCTTAACTGGTGACTTTAATGCTCGGACTAGAGACTTACAGGATTATGTACAAATTGATGAGTTTTTTTAGATCCATGAGCATATTGATAGTGAAGAGCTTTTTCTAATGTTCAGTCACTTGTAAATCTGAACATTCCGCTTGGTCGTGCACACACAGACAACTCTGTTAACAACTACGGTAAGAAGTTGATTGAGTTGTGTAAGAACACTGGATTGTTCATTGCTAACGGTCGTCTGGGTGATGACAAGGACTGTGGGAAGTTAACGTGTAAGGACGCCAGTACTGTTGATTACTGTATTGCTTCTGCTACCGTATTGTCCCATATCGAGACGCTAACAGTGGAAGAGTTTGATCCAGTGTACTCAGATGTACATTGCGGTGTTACATTCTCTTTTACGTGCAAACATATGAGCACTGGGAATGAGACAAAACAACGAGAAAATACACCCTGTTTTAATGTAAATAAGTTTGATAATAATCTTCGAGATGACTTTGTAAATAATATTGATTTATCTGTTGTAAATACTTGTGTACATACATGGAAAATGCTAATGATGATGATGTTGCATCATGTGTAAATTCTGTTTGTAATGATTTGTCAAATATGTTTGTTAGCGCTGCTAAGAATACGTTTGGTACCACTAAGGCTAAATCACCCAAAAATTGTAAAACGCATAAACCTTGGTTTAATAGTGAGTGTTGAGCTTCAAGGCGTAATTACCAGGCTTCGAAACGTGTGTTTGGATCAAATCGTTCAAAGTTCTTGAAAGCTGGTAAAAATTACAGTAAAATTCTGAAAACTTCATTTAATAACTATAAACGTGGCTGTGCTGAAAAATTACGTAATTCACAGAATTACGACCAAAAATCTTTCTGGAAAATTTTAAAGTCATTTGATAATCGCACTGAAAAAGCATTAGGTATTGACAAGCAAGAGCTATTTAATCATTTCAAAGATTTGAACGCAGGACAAGCCTGCAAGGTTGAATGTGATATTTGTTTTAATGAAGGTGTGTTACATAACAAGATTTTAGATTCGGTGATTACAGATAAGGAAATTCTTTCTGCTGTCCATTGTCTGAAAAGCAACAAAGCTTGTGGGTTGGATAATATAGTGAATGAGTATATTAAGTCATCTATTGACGTTATGTTACCGGTATATGTAAAGCTATTTAATTTAGTTCTTGATGGTGGTGTAATGCCTGAGTCCTGGCTTCTAGGTATAATTAAGCCTATTTACGAAAACAAAGGGGATTTTGGGGACCCGGATAATTATCGAGGGGTGTCACTTTTAAGCTGCTTGGGTAAACTATTCACATCCATATTAAGTAAATGGCTCCAAGCCTACTCTGACAGTGTTGGTGTCATAAGCTCTGCGCATGCGGGCTTCAGGAAAAACTACTCCACCATTGATAACATTTATATCTTAAAGGCATTGATTGATATATACCTTAATCAAAATAAGAAATTATACTGCGTATTTGTTGATTTTAGTAAAGCCTTTGATACTGTGTGGGCTGTAGCCTTTATGAAAATGGTTGAAAATGGTATTACTGGAAAATGTTTTAATGTTTTAAAAAATATGTATCAGCATATAAAATCATGTGTTTCTCATAATGGCAGTACAACCCAATTCTTTCCTTGTAATATGGGTGTTAGACAAGGCTTAAAATTTATCTCCATTTCTGTTTGCTCTTTATTTAAATGATTTGGAATATTTTCTATCAAATAACGTAATTGGTTTGGAATTTGTAAATGCTTATGCACTAAAAGAAATTGGTATATTCATTAAGCTACAGGTAATTCTTTATGCTGATGATACAGTACTTTTATCTGAATCTCCTTCTGATTTGAAACTTTGTTTGGAAACTTTTGATGCTTACTGTACACGATGGAAACTAATAGTAAACATTTCTAAAACTAAAGTTTTGAGTTTTTTCCAAAAGAAGCAGTAAACTTAGTACATTATTTCTTCTGCAGAATACTGTTTAGAGGTAGAAAAACATTATGTTTATCTTGGTGTACTATTCACAAGCACTGGTCACTTTTGTAAAGCCATTAAACGGCTCTCTGACCAATCTTCTGGTACAATGTTTGCTATATTTAGAAAAATTTGCTTGTTAGATATACCGGTCGACTGCCAACCTAAACTTTTTGATCATCTCGTTAAGCCTATTTTTTTGTATGGTGCTGAGGTGTTGGGCTACAAAAACACTATTTAATTAGAAAGTATTCCTTTGAAATTTTGTAAATACATATTGAAGGTAAAAACAACAACCCCAGACTTTATGGTTTACGATGAACTTGGAAGATATCCACTTAGTATTTCTATCAAATTGAGAATGTTATCATAATGGTGTAAATTATTTTTATCTCATGGTAACCTATCAAAAGTAATATAAATTAATGTTCAATTTGCACAATGATCAGGCAAATGCTAAATATCCGCTAATAGCGGAAGTAAAATCTGTCTTAGAGAATACAGGCTTTAGCTACATTTGGCAATTACAAGAATTTCAGAGTACCCATTGGCTGGTGAATAATGTTAAAACTGTACTCGTTGATCAGTTTCTCTACAAACTTGGAGAGAAAGTAAATCACAATCATCGAAAATCATTTAAGGATAATCTTTATATTGAAACTTATTTGTTGCAACTTCCTCTAGATTTACGTATTGATACTACAAAACTTAGAACTTGTAACCACAGACTCCCTATTGAAACTGGTAGATGGCATAAAATTGATAAAGAAAATAGATTGTGTACATCATGCAAGAGTAAAATTGGGGATGAATTTCACTTTATTATACCCCCACTACGAAGTAACGGGGTATATAGCGTTCATTCTGTCCTTCCGTCCGTCCCGAAACTTTGTCCGGAGCATATCTCTTAAAGTTTACATGCTAGGTACACCAAACTTCACACACATGTTAATCATTACCCATTGATGTGCCTTTTGCTATTTTAATTTTTTTTCAGAATTTTGTTTTATTGCTGTTTCCATGGAAACACAACTTAGTGCCAAATGTGTTTGATGGTTTTGTCCGGAGCATATCTCTTAAAGTTTACATGCTAGGTTCACCAAACTTCACACACATGTTAATCATGACCCATTGATGTGCCTTTTGCTATTTTATTTTTTTTTCAGAATTTTGTTTTATTGCTGTTTCCATGGAAACACGACTTAGTGCCAAATGTGTTTGATGGTTTTGTCCAGAGCATATCTCTTAAATTTACATGCTAGGTTCACCAAACTTCACACACATGTTAATCATTACCCATTGATGTGCCTTTTGCTATTTTATAATATTTTCAGAATTTTGTTTTTTGCTGTTTCCATGGAAACACGACTTAGTGCCAAATGTGTTTGATGGTTTTGTCCGGAGCATATCTCTTAAAGTTTACATGCTAGGTTCACCAAACTTCACACACATGTTAATCATGACCCATTGATGTACCTTTTGCTATTTTAATTTTTTTTCAGAATTTTGTTTTATTGCTGTTTCCATGGAAACACAACTTAGTGCCAAATGTGTTTGATGGTTTTGTCCGGGGCATATCTCTTAAAGTTTACATGCTAGGTTCACCAAACTTCACACACACGTTAATCATGACCCATTGATGTGCCTTTTGCTATTTTATAATATTTTCAGAATTTTTTTTTGTTGCTGTTTCCATGGAAACACGACTTAGTGCCAAATGTGTTTGATGGTTTTGTCCGGAGCATATCTCTTAAAGTTTACATGCTAGGTTCACCAAACTTCACACACATGTTAATCATGACCCATTGATGTGCCTTTTGCTATGTTATAATATTTTCAGAATTTTTTTTTGTTGCTGTTTCCATGGAAACACGACTTGGTGCCAAATGTGTTTGATGGTTTTGTCCGGAGCATATCTCTTAAAGTTTACATGCTAGGTTCACCAAACTTCACACACATGTTAATCATTACCCATTGATGTGCCTTTTGCTATGTTATAATATTTTCAGAATTTTTTGTTTTTGTTGCTGTTTCCATGGAAACACGACTTAGTGCCAAATGTGTTTGATGGTTTTGTCCGGAGCATATCTCTTAAAGTTTACATGCTAGGTTCACCAAACTTCACACACATGTTAATCATTACCTATTCATGTGCTGTTTGCTATTTTTAAGTTTTTTCAGAATTTTGTTTTGTTGCTGTTTCCATGGAAACACTGCTTAGTGCCAAATGTGTTTGATGGTTTTTGTCCGGAGCATATCTCTTAAAGTTTACATGCTAGGTTCACCAAACTTCACACACATGTTAATCATGACCCATTGATGTGCCTTTTGCTATTTTATAATATTTTCAGAATTTTGTTTTGTTGCTGTTTCCATGGAAACACGACTTGGTGCAAAATGTGTTTGATGGTTACCTGGCCACAGCATATCATCGAAACTATACATGCTAGGTTCACCAAACTTAATACACAAGCTAATCATGACCCACAGATATGCCATGTGCTAAAAAATAACAATCTTCATCTACGTCCACTTCATTGTGTGCAACAAGTTCAATTGTATGTCAGGTTTCCACGGAAAACACAAACAAGTAATGTTTCCATAAATTATTACTGTAATCAGTACATGGCAAGACAATTATCTAACATGTATATAAAGTTTAGTAGAGTCAAGGGGAAAGTCTTGTGAGCTGCTGATCCTTGTCACATTATATATATCAATATCAGTCATTTCCATGTCCCAAAGTGGGAAGCGGGGATATGTGAGATGTGCTCACTTCTACACTTGTGTTAGAATGCAATGAGTTAAACTAATTACGAAACAAATATCTCCCTCCATATTATTGTAAACATCCCACTGTGGATAAATATGTTTCACTTATGTCTATCACATACAAACCAATACTTGTTAAACTTGCTCTTTTTGTGAAATGGGGCTTGTGTACGCTCCGTTAATGTAATATGTATTTGTTTCATTGTTTTGCACATGTATTTGTTTTACTCTATGTCATGTATATGACTCATGAGAATAAACTTTGAATTGAAAAAAAAAAGAAAAAAAAGTAGTTTCACCCACGTTGTTTCATCCCAATTCCAACCTAGGTCAATTCATCCCATATAATGGGTTGTTTCACCCCTAATCAGAAGTTGTTTCACAGAACTAATTGAGTATACGAGGAGCATGGTATTAATGCTTAAATCTGTTAATCCTAATTAGGCAATGTTTTAACAACGATCAGGTAAGTGCTACTGTTTCTGTGTTGGGATGGCAATTAGGACTTAAGCTTATATCTCATCTAATCTCATCTGGTTCATGGCTGTGAAGGCTCAAATTGTGATGTTTGTGGTTGAATGAGCTTAGCCTTGGTGGTACTAGCAGTGCAATGTTATAGACTATACTTTGGTGTCCTGTCTTGCTGTATTATATTTTAGCTTGGGTACTTTTACGTAAATGGAAACCCTTTTTAGGCCAGACCAATTTTATTTCTTGTTTTACGGATTTTTGTCCTCAGAAAACCTATAGGCAGGAGGGGGAACAAAAATTAAATAAAATCCCCAGTCAACATAATATTCCTTCTACATATAAAAAGTATTTTACTTTTGGAAATTTGTGAAGTGTATATGGGGCAAAAAAAATTCAAAAAAAATTTGTTTTGTAATTTTTTAAACTTATCCTATCTCACGGTATGCACTTCTCTCTCTTGATTCGACACTGAGTGGAACGATGTAAACTTTTTTCCCGTGGCCTCTCTTGTCCATCCGCCCAAGCACTCCATGCTACCCTCATTATAAGTCAGCTTCCTAGTTGTCATGCAAAGCATGCGGCATACACCACTAGCTACCCACGAGTTATTCATCTTTCAATGTGTCCAATCTTGGGATAATCTATTTTCCAAAACATCCCTTTAGAGAATAATGTGTAAAGTGGAAGTTAAAATTAAAAAATAAAGGCTAAAGGCTGAAGCTGTTGTATTTGATTCATAAGAATCAAAAATATAATGCTGCCAATGAAATATATGACCGGCGGATCCGTAAAACAAGAAAAAAAATTGGTCAGGCCTTAATAAACAATCTATGAACTAATTAGTAATATTGGTACAGCCATATGGTCGAATGCTTTAAAAACACAATCTGGGGGTAAATGTAATCTTCTTGCTTTAGCTAGCAACCAAAACATTGCTTTCAGGCCTTGTTCGCTTAAAGATTTATTGGCAGCATTATATTTCTGATTCTTATGAATCAAATGCAACAGCTTCAGCCTTTAGCCTTTATTTTTAAATTTTAACTTCCACTTTACCCAATATTCTCTAAAGGGATGTTTTGGAAAAAAGATTATCCCAAGATTAACTCCGGATACATTGAAGATGAATAACTCTAAAATAATCTGTACTACTATAACAATGTTTTGAAAAGAAATTTCCCTATCCATAGATCTATCTACCTCTGACATGGATTATGCTTACCGGTATTTATTCACCATATCTTTAGCCTTGGCGGTACTCCCCTACACCAGGAAAAGTAGCTCTCCTGGGACATCTGAAATATCTATTTTAGCCTTCCTGGCATGATACCTCTCATCTCATCACACTTAAAACTTAAATGAACATTTAATAATTATTTGCTGGGGTGAAACAACCTCTAAATGGGATGAAACTGTGCTGGGGTGAAACGTGTTTGGGGTGAAATAATCCGTTACCGCTGGAAATTGGAATATTGTTGAGCAGTATTGAACACTACTAAAACAAATACTTGTGAGGAACACTGGGTTCATACTGACACACAATCACATTCTTCACAGCGATCCTTCGCAGCCTAGTGGATAAAACCGCCAAGCAATTAAGCGAAGGGTTGCAGGTTCGAAACCAGGCATCGGCACAATATATTGAAAGTTTTCAATTCAATAATGTGATATTTTACAATTGCACAATTAAAATGAGTCAAAGTCAAGGGCTATTCTTCAGAAAATCCAAGGGACCTGGAGCAATTCTGTAGAAAATCCCCAGGCCTGTATAGGTTTTCTTGGTAAAAGGAGAGAGAACCTGGCGAGACAATATTAAGCACACTTCTGGTGTTCTGAGCCAGGATATTTCTGGAATATTGCTAAAGGCAATGTAACGCTATTGTCACTTGCTCATTCAACATGCTCAATGTGGAACCATAATCATTTGTTCACTCAATGTCTCAAAGTTACTGGGGACGTGTTTTGTTCCAGAATCCCCACAGGCCTGTATATGCCAAGTGACCACTGGGTGACCATTGATGTCTAGTAAGTACTGGTAAATGTATCCTTTTCTTTCATTTCAGAAGAGCGTTGAAAAGCTGAAACAGTTACTTGAGAAAAACTCTGTGATCAAGAGTTTGGACAGGAACACAGATGAAAAACCAGCGCGGAACAATAATCGGCTGATAACGTGGGACGATGTCTTCATGAAGGTACGCACGATAACGTTTTACAGACAATGTAAACTGTACAAGACGTGCATAATCTTGTCTCTGTCTGTGTCTCTGTCTGCGTCTCTGTCTGCAGGGTGTAGTATGGTATATTTGCCTGTGTTTGTGTCTCTGCAGGGAATAGTGTTGTATGTCTATTTCTGCAGGGTGTAGTATGGTATATTTGCCTGTGTTTGTGTCTCTGCAGGGAATAGTGTTGTATGTCTATTTCTGCAGGGTGTAGTATGGTATATTTGCCTGTGTTTGTGTCTCTGCAGGGAATAGTGTTGTATGTCTGTTTCTGCAGGGTGTAGTATGGTATATTTGCCTGTGTTTGTGATGTACAGGGAGTACTGCGTCTGCAGGGTGTGGTGTACGTCAGCTTGTGTCTGCAGGGTGTGGTTTTGTATGTCAGCTTGTGTGTCTGCAGGGTGTGGTGTTGTACATCTGCTTGTGTGTGTAGGGTGTGGTGTTGTATGTCTGCTTGTGTCTGCAGGGTGTGGTGTTGTACATCTGCTTGTGTGTGTAGGGTGTGATGTACGTCTGCTTGTGTGTCTGCAAGGTGTGTTGTACATCTGCTTGTGTGTCTGCAGGGTGTAGTGTTGTATGTCTGCTTGTGTCTGCAGGGTGTGGTGTTGTATGTCAGCTTGTCTGCAGGGTGTGGTGTTGTACATCAGCTTGTGTCTGCAGGGTGTGATGTATGTCTGCTTGTGTCTGCAGGGTGTGGTGTTGTACATCCGTCTGGAGACAGCTGCACTACAGAAGGCCAAGGAAAGTGTCAGTGCAGCATCTAAGCTCAACAAGGAGAAGAAGAAGCAAGAAATTAGTGGATTCTTCAAGTTCTTTGTCAGAGTTGCGGATAAACGTGAGTAGCCTGGTACAATGGTTGACTTAGCTGATGGGTTTTTGGCCATGGATAACCCAAGGACTTGCTGTTACTTGAAAGGGGATTCCCTCTCTGATCTGTAAAAAGTCTATCATATATACTTAGAAACCTTGCTGTCGTCTTTCCCTTAAGATGTTTATATGTTGTTTGTCTGTGTTTCTGTTTTGCCTCTGGGGCGACGGGGTAGCCTAGTGGTTATGGTGTTCGCTCATCACGCCGAAGACACAGGTTCGATTCCCCACATGGGCACAATGTGTGAAGCCCATTTCTGGTGTCCCCTGCTATGATGTTGCTGGAATATTGCTAAAAGCGGCATAAAACCATACTCACTCACTCATTTTATTGCCTCTAGTTCTGCTGAAGTTAGGATTTGGATATTATGATAGTAATGCAGAAGGCTGCAGTGTTGGGGGGTCTCCATATTCTCTGGGAGAAGTGCCATTTGCTGACCAGTCTGCGTGTATAAAGGGCCCTGAGCTGATGAATAGCTCAGCCAGCTCGACTGTGCCAGGATCACCCTGTTTTAACATGCTTCCTCCAGTACAGTAACATGTTATCCCTGAATTAATTCTTCTTTTAGTTTGTGATCCTGGCATTTGAGCCTGAGTTATGCATTACATTTTATTATGGTTTCTGAGCCCTGATGATGTGACATATCTGACTTCAAGATTGAAGTGAACATTGTTGTGTAGTTTCACTATGGTTCAAGTTCATATAGATCCATGCATTGCACTGGAGAGAGATCACTGGAAATAGTTTTCATTTGGTCAGTGAGATTTCGCAGTAGTCAAATCTTGTCACCTTTCTGGGTTAACTTTGGTGTCAAGCTACCTATGCTGGATGTAAGAGATGACAAAATGAATCCTCTGGTCAGGCTAGATGTTCACCAATTCAATCTTTGTCCTGTCCTATATTTCATCATATAATGTTCATCATTGCTGAAGGGGCATTAAGCAGCAAACAAATAGATTGTGATGGTATGAGTGTTGAAGTCTGTGGATGACTGATGCAGGTGGGCCCCGACTGAAGTGTTCCAATGTTCTGAGTCACATCACCGAGGTCCTGGAAGATGAGTACACCTGTGCTGCCTATGGACTGGACTACAGCACTATCCTGCTGAAGAACGTCCTGCCTGTCCGCAAATACTGGGTGGACATCAAGTCAAGATCCTGGCAGGGTGAGTTCCTGGAAACCTCTCTGTGTTGTGAATCAGACCCTGGAGACCTGGAGAGCTCCTTAGGGTAGGTGGTCAGAATCCTCGCAAGGAGAGTAACCATTAGTAAGAGGTCGGTCAGAAATCTGACTCCTGGCAGGGAGAGCGCCTTGAGGTGAGAAGTAATAATCCTGACATGGAGAGCACCTTGAGGTGAGAAGTAATAATCCTGGCAGGGAGAGTATCTTGAGGTGAGAAGTAATAATCCTGGCAGGGAGAGCACCTTGAGGTGAGAAGTAATAATCCTGACATGGAGAGCACCTTGAGGTGAGAAGAAATAATCCTGGCAGGGAGAGCACCTTGAGGTGAGAAGTAATAATCCTGGCAGGGAGAGCACCTTGAGGTGAGAAGTAATAATCCTGGCAGGGAGAGCACCTTGAGGTGAGAAGTAATAATCCTGACATGGAGAGCACCTTGAGGTGAGAAGTAATAATCCTGGCAGGGAGAGCACCTTGAGGTGAGAAGTAATAATCCTGACATGGAGAGTATCTTGACACAGGAGGCCAGAATCCCGGTAGGGAGAGTATCTTGACATGGGAGGTCAGAATCCAAGCAGGGAGAGTATCTTGACATGGGAGGTCAGAATCCAAGCAGGGAGAGTATCTTGACATGGGAGGTCAGAATCCCGGCAGGGAGAGTATCTTGACATGGGAGGTCAGAATCCTGGCAGGGCGAGTATCTTGACATTGGAGGTCAGAATCCCGCCAAAGAGAGTATCTTGACATGGGAGGTCAGAATCCCGGCAGGGAGAGTATCTTGACATGGGAGGTCAGAATCCCGGCAGGGCGAGTATCTTGACATCGAAGGTCAGAATCCCGGCAGGGAGAGTATCTTGACATGGGAGGTCAGAATCCTAACAGGGAGAGTATCTTGACATGGGAGGTCAAAATCCTAACAGGGAGAGTATCTGACATGGGAGGTCAGAATCCTGGCAGGGAGAGTATCTGACATGGGAGCTCAGAATCCTTGCAGGGAGAGTATCTTGACATGAGAGGTCAGAATCCCAATAGGGAGAGTATCTTGACATGGGAGGTCAGAATCCCGGGAGGGAAAGCACCTTATGGTGGGAACCCTGAATCCTGTCAGGGAGTGGTTCTGAGACTGGAGGTCAGAATCCTGGAAGGGAGAGCTCCTTGAGGTGTGAGGTCAGAATCCTTAGGTTGGCTGTACTTTTTGGATGTTTTATGACGAATTATTTCCAGATGTGTTAATCATAACCAACAATCATCATCATCAATATTGACCATCTATCTTGTCACCACTAGATCTGTTGCTGCGGTACTGTCGTCTGTACCTGGACCCAGAATGCAGCATTGACCGAGTGATCCTCGTCAGACTGGTCCATGCCATCATCAGTGGAGCATCCAGACAGTGTGATCTCCAGCACAGGAACCTACTCATCTTCTTCACTGAAGTCTTTAAAAACATAAGGTAGGGCTTCCATCATGTAAACTGTCTTTGAATAATAGGCTGAAACATGAGTAGTACAGTAGTACAATGGTTTGAGCAGTATACAGTTACTTGTGAACGCCTGTGCCTGTGTTCACCTGTGTTTTGATATGCTTATAGTTTCTTTGTTGTAAGGACTGATCAATGAGGATTGTGTGGTTACAAGCTGGCATCTAATTGATGCACTCCTTAGTGAGTGAGTGAGTTTAGTTTTATGCCGCACTCGGCAATATTCCAGTTATATGGCTGAGGTCTGTAAAGAATCGAGTCTGGACCAGACAATCCAGTGATAAACAGCATGAGCATCAATTTGCGCAATTGGGAACCAATGACATGTGTCAAACAAGTCAGCGAGCCTGACCACCCGATCCTGTTAGTCGTCTCTTACGACAAGCATAGGTTACTGAAGATCAATATTCTAACCCGGACCTTCACGGATTGATGCACTCGTTAAAGTAAGACCTGTTTTATTGCAATTGAGATGTTAATTATTAATCAGATAGTCTTGGGTGGGAGATGCCATTTTGTTTGAAAATATCAAATATTATCGTTGTGGGATGTGGTAGGTCAATAGGAGGAGTTAAGGTACATAACTTGTAATAGCTACTGGCGGCACCATGATTGAGACATGGAATTTACGCCTAATTCAACAGTGGTGGAACCTGGGCTTTTTCAATCAGTTGCCCTCAGGAACATGGTAAATACTGTTCACATTCACATGAGATTGACATTCAATCACGGTCCTTGGTATTCTCTTATTTCTTCACCTCATTGACATTGATTCAGTAAGGATTCAGCATGGCAAAATGGTATTTGATGCCCACGGTGACATTTGTAGTATTGTCTCCAGACAGAAAGCTCGGATCCAGGTGGTGGAGCATCTGATGTCAGCACTGAACGTGTTTGTCCGGAAGATAGCACCGAGCTGCAGGATCCAGGTCTGTAAACTGGGAGAGACCATCTTCATCAACCTCCTGTATCTGTGGAATAACAGGCCCACCGACCTCATCAAGGTACGTCTCACTCATTTGTCTCGGAATCATTGTGGTTGAAGTATTCCCTTGTCATCTTTAACCCATAAACACCCCATTGTGAGAAGCCGATTCAGGGTGTCCACGCTATGATATGCCTGTGATGTTGCAAAGTATTATGAGTCACTATCTCTGTGTGTCCTTCAGGATGAGGTAGTGGAGTTCCTGAGGCTACAGATGCAAGCCCATCACCCAGGGGGAGTCAAGACACCGGAGACCGGGGAGATTACCCTGGACAAGGAGCTGTGGAGGGTGAGTGGCAGAACCGAGTATTTTGCATTCTTTTTCAGAGAGATCGTCCTTGGGGTACATATATGCCTTTTCTGCAGCTGAAAATGTCATGTGACAGTTGTATCAATGTTTTAATAAAAATATTGTACAATAAATAAAAAATCTTTTTATCTATTATACGGCCCCTCCCTGCTACACATGCACAGCCAGCCAGGTAAGCACCTAGGCCCGTATCCTCATTCCTTATGCCGTCACTCAAGCGTTCACGTGTGTTCCCAGTTCATAGCTGACTTACTTCTATTGTGAAAGAATGTCTGAAACTTTAACAACTGTATGTCTGGTCTTTATTCGTTCTTGACAGAACAGTTTTATTGACTTTGCAGTCTGTTATTTCTCATTTCAGTGACTTTGTATTAAACTATACGCTAGCTTTCCCGTGGTTTACGCACGTGTTGCTATTCCATGATGGGAAGTTTAGCGTGCCACGTGGTTGTCACTTGAAGGTGATCAGTACCCGGTAACATTACCGTCCCATCCTACCAGGTACCCCTTCTCTGATGGGTGAACAGACTGAATGGTTCCTTCCCAAATAGCGCCTCATTCAGACTGATTAGTTACAGACAGCCTCGATCTAGCGGTGTAAGTGACAGCAATGACAGTCATTAACTAATCAACTGCTGTATGTTTTCAGAGCCACTTAAGGAAGCTGTATGAGGTGATATATACGGACCTGCAGGAAATGGGAGGGCGGAACAGATTTACTTCAGGGTGAGCGTCATCTCATACTGACCCCATCCTCCTTTTGGGAATATCTACTGACACTGACCAATGAATATGTATTGATTTTAAAATGTGTTTGTATTTTACTGACAATGTAGAAGGTAAAAAATCTTTAATGCAGTTTATATCATTATTGAGTGCAATATTGAAAAACTTTGTTAAAATATCTCTGAAGATAAGGCATGTTTAACATTACATTAAGAGCCACATGCCATATGTTGTGGAAAGAGAGTAGATTGGTGGTCTTAGGTAATGGTACACCTTAGAATGAGTAAGTGCGTTGGATTTTTACAGCATTAATGTTATGTCACGGCAATTCAGCTTTATGTGCAATGTGCAAACCTGAAGTGAGGCAGTTCTCAGTTGTTTACTACTTTGGTAAAACCCATAAGGTGGAAACAAACCACAGACCTAACAATCTAGGAATGAACCGGGAATTAAATGTGTCCCAGTACGCAGTTGTATTATTGGTTTGATTATAGCTGGTTATGAGGTGAGGTGAAATTGGGTTTAACGTTGTACTTGAGAATATTTCGCTCATTTGACGACGTGCATGCGTGTGTATGTGTATGTGCGGCTGCTTTTACTAGCCCAGACGTAAGCTGGTTTTATAGTGCTAGCTCACTGAGATACCATGCCCAGTGAACCATGAATACCCCACTCAGACACAGTATATTGACTCCGAGCCTACCAGTCCTTTTGGACCCATTAATGCCGAGCACCAGGCAGGGACCAACAAGTACCATATTTTAATGCCTTTTGGTTTGACGCGGTCGGGGATCGAACCCGCGACCTTCCTCTCTCCACGCTCTAACCACTACACCACAGAGGCGGTCAGCTGCTTATGAGTGGGAACATAGTATGTGTGTTATGTAGAATTATGTTGTGTTCCAGGACCAGAGAGGCTGTGTTGAAGGCAGCGTATGTGGATCTCGCTGCTGACGTCTGCAATCAGGTATACTGGCATCATGATGGTGAAGATGAACATTTTTTGTCGCAAGAAAATAATCTGAAAATGTTGAATTATACAGCAAATATTACACCAGCTGTTGAACATTTTGAAAGCCTGAGCATCTCAGAGGCTGATAGTCAACACTAAGGCTGCAACAAAATGTTAGTTGATGTTTTAAAATTGGAATAATAAACTTCTAAGGTGATGTCTAGAAATATTAGACCTTTAGAAGGTGCCTGGTGTTTTATTGTTAACCAGACCAGTAGCGAGGGAGAGACTTTAATGTATCAGGCTTGTTGACTTGGTTGACACTGTAAGTTGTTCACTGGTCTCTCTGATGTACCCTCGATGTTTTTATATGTTTATGTTTTGTTAACATAAAGAAACATCGAGGATACATCAACACATGGGCCTCAAGGGACCAGTGAACAACGTATTTATCTTACTGAACACCTCAATGGTAATTTTGAACTGTTTGAAGCACGGGTATCCGATCATAGTATGGAGTACTAGATGACAAGAAAAATAAATTTAGAGTTATCTCCCTTCCACCGATTTGCATTCGCAAAACATAAGTAATTTCCATTCATCATATGTGATTCAATGTTATTCAAGATAAAGAATTACCTCTATGAAGTACTAAGAAGAATGAGTTCAGCTTTCCCAGCGGGGTACATAGAAAATGTTACTCACTTGTTAGCAGGGTTGACTCGTCACGCCGAAGACCCGGGTTCGAATCCTCACATGGGTACAGTGTGTGAAGCTCATTTCTGGTGTCCCCCGCCGTGATGTTGCTGGAATATTGCTAAAAGCGGCGTAAAACCAAACTCAGTCAGTGAGTCAGTGTTAGCAGGGTCCATTGAAAATGATAGAAGAGAGCTCAGCCAATCAGAAAACAACATTTTTGTGTGAGGCAAATAAATGTCATTGTATCCGAAATGTGAGGATTGATGCTAATGATGTTGATCACTGGATTGTCTGGTCCAGACTCGATTATTTACAGACCATCGCCATATAGTTGGAATATTGCTGAGTGTGGCGTTAAACAACAAACGGATTGACTTAGTTTGGAATCCTAGATGAAGCCATTGTGCAGTGTGTTAATTTAATTCCTGGCATGCCCTTAGTGGTTTTACTTACCGGTAAATACTCCCCACCCATCAGCTTCACTGTGGCTGACCCAGTTTCTCCCCTCATCAGCTGTTCACAGAGTCCTCCCAGACAATCGAGGTGACGCAGATGTCGATGCTGGGGGAAGGGGACACGCCCAGGAAGAAGAGGAGGTTGGAGAGTGGCTGGACTGTCGTCCGTGACACCATGTACAAAACCGGCTGCTCTCATCAAGTCATACCATGGTGTGTATACATTTAAAGGAAGAAAGATATGTTATTCAGGAATTGACAATAATGTTGTTTTATTGTTATGTTGTTTTCTTATGTTGTTAAAGGGCCATTCATAATTTATGGCTAGGGTGGCTGATGATGATTTTAATGGAGAAGCATGTACAATGTGAATGACCCCCCTAAAATTTATGATCAAAGTAAGTGACTCCTCACATGTCATGTACAAAGTCAGTGACCCTCCAGTACATGTGTACAAAATTAATGACTCCCCAGATCAAAAAACCAACCCCCACCTCCCTCCCTCCCTTTAAATTCATTATCACCTCCCCTGGCAATAAGTTACGAATGGTCCCTAAGGGGTGGAGGCCATACCTGAGTAACGCCATAGCTCATCACAATGAATACGAATTGTTTTATATACAAAGGTACAATGTACACACACAATTCTTGGTGTCCCCTGCTGTGATGTGACTGAAGTATGTCAACAGTGGTGTAAACCCTCAACAGACTCACTCACTCTAGATGTTGGTATTGTTTAGGTTGCAGCTGGTCACACGTCTTGTCGAGAAGTACCCACCCAGTGTCCCGGAGGATGAGTTACTTCCCTTGCTTCAGTGTCTCCACAAACTGCTGAATGACTGCAAAAGGTGAGGATGCATGTTGTAACACACAGAACTGCAGTTGTAGAGACTCGGTAACTATCTTGTTGATCAAAACAAGGCTATAAGCTGACTCTTGTGATGCAGAGAGAGTCAAGGGTAAAATAAATGACAGTCCAAACAATCTTGAATGCTGGTTTGAGATCAAGTTCAGCTGTGACCCGTGAAGGTCCGGGTTAGAATATTGATCTTCAGTAGCCCATGCTTGTCGTAAGAGGCGACTAAACGGATCGGGTGGTCAGGCTCACTGACTTGGTTGACACATGTCATCGGTTCCCAATTGCGCAGAGCGATGCTCATGCTATTGATCACTGGATTATCTGGCTCAGACTCAGGCGCCGCCATATAGCTGGAATATTGCTGAGTTCGGCGTAAAAGTAAACTCACTCACTCACACTCAAGTTCAGCTGCAGGTTAATCAGTGCTAATGGTCTATTCAGGGGTGTTTAAATACCAAGTGGAATGGATCGTCCGACTCATGACTTGCTTGATGATGAGCTTTAATATTCTGAGGGTCTGGGTAATGTGTTTTACATGTACAAACCTCTGGATTGTCTGGTCTAGACTTGATTACTTACAGGCCACTGTTATTGAGCTTGAATATTGCTGATGGAGGCATTAAACTACAAACACAAACTCCACTTAAATTTCAAATTGAACAAGTGACAGTAGTACAGTTTCAGGTGATTTATTTGGATGTGTTCCAGGAGTGAGATTCTGAGGCACATTTTCCAGTGTCTGATTGTACTGGTGATCAGCTACACATCCTTCAAACACATCACCATGGCAACAGTCAACTCAACCAGGGACATATGGCAGACAATATGGTTGTCAACTCTCAGGTATATGATATGTTTGTATCTTTACCTTGGTACAACAGATATAGACTTAGATCGTAGGTGAATGCTGTAAATAGGTAAATCTATCACATTTTATTAGTGTCTGAAACTAAGAATGTTTGAATAATTTATGAATTTGAACTTAAAATGACTTGAGGACTGTAAAATCTGTATGACTTTCAGGCCTTGATTTGCCTTGATTCTGATTCTTAGTGTGTCAACACTGAAAACCTGAGGTAAACTTCTATGAACAACATCACTAAGGTTTTACTCTCACATTAAGCTGATGTTATGTCACATCTCACTCCCACGTTGGGCTGACACCATAAATGAAATACTATCCAATATTGTAGCAGGATCCGGAGTCATCCCACAGATGACATCCTTACCTTGTCAGCTTGCTGACGGGGTTAACATCTTTGGTCATGTGGACAAGGCGTCCGACTTTGGATCGGAAGGTCCGTGGTTCGAATCCCAGCACGGGACGATAGCCGCTACAATATTGCATCTCACCATCTCATTAAGCTGACGTGATATAACTGAAAGACAATGTAATATCTCATCTCAGTTGTATCTCAGTGATACATTAATTTGAGATCAAGATATAAATGAACTACTCCCCAAGGCAGGTTATATCCCATCTCACTTATACATTGAGTTCACACCATAATATAACTGAACTACCTCGATCGCCAAGGCAATGTTATATCATATTTCACTTATACATAAAGCTGGCATCATGATATAACTGAAATACTCCCCAAGGCGGTGTTATATCCCATGTCACTCACACATTGAGCTGAAACCGTCATGTAACTCAACTACGACCATAATATTGAGTCTCACTCTATCCTAGGTCCATGAGTTCTCACCAGGCTGAAGCAGAGGGTTATCAACAACCCGGGTTCAACCTCCTCGCTGCCATCGTTCACCAGAGGTTTGTCTGTCCAGAGAAAGAAGTGTGGAACTTGTTCCTACCCAACGTCTCCTCCCCCCAGCATGGCTTCCATCAACTTTCTGTCCGTCTGCCTCAGTCTCCACGACCTTCCAGAAAACCATCAGCCAAGTATTCTGGGTTCAAACCTCACTGGTGGCAAAGGCTCATACACCTTGAGAAAGCACCTCTTTGAATGGCTGATACCAAAAAGAGAGGTTTCAGATGTGGCGAAAGGTTGTAAGATAGATCCGGGAGTTATGAGTCAGGTGCTAGTTGCGTTAACTGTACGGAACCCCGGTTCAGTTATTCCTGTCAGGCCTGCGTCCACTGCCAAGCACTGGACAGAGTTGGAGAGAATATATCTAGAGACATCATTCGACTGTGAAATGAGGATAGAAAAAAATGTTTCGGGCATCAGGAGAGGAGTGTGTGAAAGCTGAAGTGGCAGCTGTTCCAAGTTTATTGGAGACCTTGAAAGAAGTGTTTTCAAGAGAAGCAACTCACTTTCAGACTGTCTTGGAGCCACAGGTATGTTAGCTGAAGGGGTTATAATTATGTATCTGTCCCTATATTACAGGTATTGTACAGAGCTGCATATTAGCACATTTTTGTGCAAAATAGTGAAAATATACCAGCATGACATCAGTGATGTTTAGTTACCTGCATATACTCCTAGACTAAGGGGCGGTGGGGTAGCCTAGTGGTTAAAGCATTCGCTCATCACGCCAAAGACCCGGGTTCGATGCCCCACATTGGTACAATGTGCGAAGGCTATTTCTGGTGTCCAGCTCCACGATATTGCTGGAATATTGCTAAAAGTGGCGTAAAACCATACTCACTCACTCATGAATGAATGTTACCCATGAACATCTGGGTTAGAATTGATCTTCAGCAACCCATGCTTGTCATAAGAGACGACAAAAGGGATCGGGTGGTCAGGCTCGTTCACTTGGTTGACACATGTCATTGTATCCCAATTGAGAAGGTCAATGCTCAAGCTGCTGATCACTGGATTGTCTGGTCCAGACTCGATTATTTACAGACCATCGCCATATAGCTGGAATATTGCTAAGTGCGGCATTAAACAACAAACCAATCAACCTCGGCCAAATGTAGAGATAGCATCAAAATCAGGTGATATGATACACCGGCCTTATCATCCAAACTACATATCTTGACCATGGTGAACACCAGTGCTTGTCACCGTTCATGAGACCATGTGGTTGACACTCATACAGCTGGTCTATGAACATGTGGACAATGTTTCAACAGTGGGGTGAACCTCGATTGTGTTCAGTAACCTGATACATTCTGTGGCTTGTTCCATATCAACAGGAATTTTGGAGGGTGGGAGGTGTCATACTGATTACTGGATAACACTTTTACTGCTCCTGAGTGACTTTTCCAGCATTTGGCCTAGCACTACATACAAATATGATAAAAACCTATAGTAGAAGTACAGGGGTGGAAATATGTTTAAAATTGCTAGTGTACTCCGGTACAGTGGCACATGTAAAGTCACTTACCCTGATTATTTCCCACTATACCAACCGTTTTCTTGCTGATTTTTTAAATAAACAACATAATAAACATTGGAAAGTCAACTGGACACCGGTACAGTGTGATATACAAATTTGCTTGCCCGACAGAAAAAAACACTGGACTCAGACGTCGGGCAATGGGTTATTTCCACCCCTGAAGTACACTGTGTCCAACTTTACCCTACATCATCATGACAAGTTACATAACATTTATCATGTTTATAAGGACCTAAACTAATCTAGGATTATTTTATTATCAAACTTTAAGGCGATGGAAGTCTTGTACAATACATTAACAAAGAAATCTGATCTCCCAACCATATTTTTCACTTTAAATTTGATAAATAAAAAAAAGATGAAAAAAAGGTTTGGGTCTGTACCCCACATCATAACACAAAAGATTCCTGATGAAATCAGTCATAAACTCAGCTCACTCACTCATCCTGTCTTAATAGCGCTGAAGTTTCGTCAGTGCTCAGATTCTTGGCCATAAATTCACAAGAGATCGGGCTAATTTCATCACCTTTCACCAGACACATAATGATAAATTCTTGATATTTTGTTTCAGCAACATACCCTTGAACACATCATAACCTGTTCATCAGTGCTTGTGAAATGTATCCAACACCTGCTTGAATCAGGAGTTGCCTCCCCTGCTATGCTGGCTGACACAGGACTTGAGGCCTGCCTCAGGAGTCTGTTGAGGAGGATGTCCTCCCTCTTGTCGGACTATGTTAAGAAAGAAGGGTGTGGACACATGCTGCCAATCGTTCAGATGCTCCAGAACCTGTTCCCCCAAACTGAGCTGAACACTCATGGATGTTATGTGGTATCGGAGCTGCTCAGAACACTGCTACCTGGGAGTTTCTTTGATCTTGTGTTTGAAATTGCATTTAGCAAGGTGAGTTAAAAATCTGTGTACATGAATTTTGTGAATATTTGTAGTGTCCAATAGTGTTGGGAATTGGTTGAAATCTCACAATTGATGATTGTTTCATTACCAACAAACAATCATCGAAAAAAATTGGTTAGCATCATTTTTCAGATTTTCCTATCCAGGTTGTTATTGCAGTTATGTATGACATGATGCAACTTGCTACTTTAAAGTGATGACTAATATATCATGAACATAAACTTCCCGGAGTCTTCAAGAAATATTCAGTCATGGCTTTTCAGTTAGTGAAGTGAGTTTTCTAAGAATTAAACACGTTTTCATGCCCTGACAACTTCTAAGATATGTTCCATTGTCAAGTATTTCAAAGACTAAAACAGTAGTTCCAAAATCGTTTATGTTCGATTATGAGAAAATGTGACCGATTGCTTGGTCGTTTGGTCACTGCGACCAATCTTCGATTATTTCAATTAATCGGAATACCACTAGTGTCCAATCAAATATATATAAATGTATGATGCATATATCCATATATTAATTCGGCATGGATTTGTTTCATCCTTTTTGTTGTTTGGTTGGTTTGTTGTTTAATGCCGCACTGAGCAATATCCCAGCTATATGGCGGTGGTTATTAAATAATCGAGTCTGGACCAGAAAAGCAAGATTTCATTTCGTCAGGAGCAAGCGTACACTCCGAAACGTCGTGTTATTCACAATAAAGAAGTTGAGATCCATAAAGCTTGCATTTCTTATGCATTCCACTTTTAAATGCCCGTCAGAGATTTGAGTCTGGACAATACAGTCCGGTGATCAACAGCATGAGCATCGGTCTATGCAATTGGGATATGGTGAAATGTCAACCTTGTCAGCGAGCCTGACCACCTGATCCGGCTAGTCACCTCTTACGACAAGCATGGGTTGCTGAAGCCAAATTCTGACCTGGATTTTCACGGGTCCTTTTCATCTTTTTTGTCAATAACATTTTCCTCCCTGAATTATCAAAGCTTTTATTGTGATGGCATGTTAGTGAACATGACATAAGAAGGAGCCATTCTCCCGAGAAATGTTCCTTTTGATTATTTGAATATATTTTGCATAAATTCACTTCAACTGGAACATGAACTTGTGTTGGTAATCTTTAGGCTGTTTTTATATTGTATTGTCTTCAATAGCTTTAGTGGTGTAGTGGTTAGAGCGTCCGCGCGGAGAGCAGAAGGTCGCGGGTTTGTTTCCCCGACCGCGTCATACCAAAAGACGTTAACATATGGTACTTGTTGGTCCCTGCCTGGAGCTCGGCATTAATGGGTACAACAAGGACTGGTCGGCTCGGAGTCAGTATAATGTGTCTGAGTAGGGTATTCATGCTTCACTGCGGCATGGTATCTCAGTGGGCTAGCACTATAAGACCAGATTCAGTCTGGGTTAGTACAAGCAGCCGCACATACACATACACACACATGCATGTCGTCATATGAGCGAAATATTCTCAAGCACGACGTTAAACCCAATTTCACCTCACCTCAATAGCTTTAGATTTTTATACAAGTTTAAATTTTACATTAATATCTGTGATATTCCAGGTGTTTTGTCTGTGCTTCATTCACAGGTTTAGAATTTAGCATCATGTATTATGAATGTATTGCTTGTTTTAGTCATGATATGGCTGAAATACTGCCGATGTCACTTAAAATCTTAACTCACTCACCTGAACTTATCAGGTGTGAGGTAGAAACAGCTGATTCACCGAACCTGTAACATTTCAGATGCAACGCTCCAACAGCAACTCCAACAACAGCACCCAGCTGGGCAGTCTGAGGAGGCGGTCAAGCTTCGACAGGAGGCCGGGTGCCAGCGACAGAGGGCGGTCACGGTATAATGACATCGATGAAATGGATCTGGAGTTCGATGAAGTGTCACACTCTGCTGGGGGGGACGGGGAGGTTATGGAGTTTGATGATGTTGATGACATAGGAGACAGTCAGGATTCCGATGAAACACAAAACACTCATGGTAGGTGAATCAGTCATTGGTTATGAGCTTGAATCTCAGATTTACCCTGATTATAGTTCTGGACATGTCAGGTCCATACCCATCACTTTGGGCTCTCCTCCATTATTTGGGCGGTGGGGTAGCCTAATGGTTAAAGCGTTGGCTTGTCACTGAAGACCCGGGTTTGAATCCCCACATGGGCACAATGTGTGAAGCCCATTTCTGGTGTCCCCCGCCGTGATGTTGCTGGAATATTGCTCAAAGCGGGTAAAACCAAACTCAGTCAGTCAGTCAGTCCTCCATTATTTAGCTGACACACTGAAATAGGTTTTAAAGCTGCATTTATAGCAACTATGTCTCTCCCGCCCTCACTCACACTCACCGACTTTGTCACAATATGGCTGAAATATTGCCGATGTGATGATAAATTGTAACTGATTGACTGACTCACAGAGCTGAAAATCAGCCTTTTGTTGTCGGGCTGTTTGAGTAGATGTCAGTGTCAGTGTCCGTCTATTGTGTTTGCACCTGTCTATCTCAGTGGTCTTGTGCTAAACAAGATCAGTGTTACCTTGGAGTTGTTTAAGTTGCCTCAGCCTCTGTCTGCAGGATGTCCAAGTCTGGTGAGTGAGGATGGACTGACTGAGAGTTGCAAGCAGCGTCTTGAGGCAGTGAGACTCCTGTGTCTGTGTTGTAACTATGAAAGCAGCGTGGCGCCCTCTGCTGTACCGTACAAAGCTGAGATTGAGACCTCCTTCCTCAAAAGCAAGCTGGCTGAGCTTCTGGAGGGTGACATGTTTGATACAGGGAGGGCTGTGGATCTGTTGTGTGTGAGTATCTTGCAGATGGATGGACACCATCTTACTTCCTCCCTCTCTTTAGCAGTATGTAATATACAGTGAAACCTGTCTAAACCGGCACCCCACGGGTGACCTTGATTGGACTGCTCACACCCATGCCGGCTTAGAACGTTTGATTCACAGCACAATCACTACTTCCTTACTATCTAGCGTGCCAAGAGGAATAATGAGTGCTTTGGATTATGAGTCCTTGATTGGACTGCTCATACCCATGCCAGTTTAGACAGTGTTAATTACGGTTAAAATTGCTTGTTGGAACCTGAAAGTCGTGCAGGAATACGGAATAGACAGGTGCCGGATTAGACAATTTTTAATGATCATAATATCGTAAAATAGCGGGACCAAAATTTTATACCGGATTAGACAGGTACTGGTGTTGGCAGGTTTCACTCTAATTTGATAAATTTACTGGAAACTGGTATTCCAAGGCAACACACAAGTTCACCAAGTTACCATGCTTGTCAAGAGAACTAATGTTCGAGAAAGAGCTGCAACATTATGGATTGAAGTTCATGCTATCAACCACTGATGTCCGGACCATTTGTTTACAAGTTGCTGTGGTATCTTCAGCAGCTATGTTAAACAATGTTCACTTGGAAACGGGTTGTTGAAGTATATTTTTGGGGATGATGTTTTGTTCTTGGGTTGAAAATATTGAATCGAATCAGCTTCTTAAAGGTAACAGTTTTGTTGTGTTGTTTATGATATTTGTTAATAAGTTGCATGTGTACAATGGTTCGGGTACGTAAGTCCCGAAACATTCAAAGGAAATTTGAATTTACCAGATTATTTTAAATGTAGTATTTTTGTCATTATAATTTTGGCTACATTTGACTACAATCGCCAGCTGCTGAAGAGTTGCTATAAATCCAGTTTGGGTCCATGCAGGTAGCAAAAGTACTGTCAGTCTCCATTGTACTTAGTATGGTGACCCTTCAGTTGCTTGTGATCTATAGCCTGTTTATTTATATTGTACTGTTGTACTGTCTCTAGTGATATATTTGTATGATAGTGTACTAGTTTTAAATTAAAAGCTGTGATAATCTAGTATTTTTACTGTCCTTCGATGACATGTTTTTACGTTCTAAATTTATTGATCATAATATTGATGTAAATTAAATTGTTCTCGTCACGATATGGCTGCAATATTGCTGATGTCATGCTAAATATTAATTCACTCACTCAGTACAATTGGAGTGAAACGATACGCTCTTACCATGGTACGGTGCGTATTGCGGTACAAGGCTTTTGGTTTGGTCCGTTTCAGTTCGGTACATGAGATATGATCATAATGCAAAAAAGAAAAGAAACGCACAGATTTTAACAAAATTATTCGATTTCTAGACATTTTAGAAAAGTTTTAAAAAAGGGTAATAAAATGACAGTATGAAAACCGAAAATACTGATTTTTGGGGTTGCATTACGGTATACCAAACAGAGGCAAAATACCGAGGTTCTACTGATACCGCAGAATACTGTTTCACCCCTACACTGTACCCCTACTACTTAAGTTTAATGGCTCTGAGATTCACATTAATATACCCTTGTATTCTGCTTAGATGGATGCAATTGTGAAGTCATTGACAACGCAATGTCATAACGTCTCTGACAGAGATTTGGATAACATGGTGGATGCTATCAGGTAGATGTCACATATGTTACTTTAGTTTTATATATATTTTCGATGCTTCTTTAAATTGTTTGGAAGTTTTTGGGAAATAAGTACCTCTTCATGCATATTTGTTAAAATGCTCCTTGAAAGTAGAGGCATGAGGACATGTATGGGGGTTGTACTTTAAGAATGACAAGGCAGATTGTTAGTGTAAACAGATACGAGTATCAATATTTGTACATAAATACACCTACATTTTTTCTTATCCTGACTCATGATCTTTTGCTTATCTCCCTTTCCTTTTCGAATGGTAGTGGAACACTTGAATCCCTTGAAGTTCCCGAAGCGGACGTATAAATACACTCACCCACGAATTACCTCCCTTTTGCCCTTTTCCCCCGGAAACAGTCATGTGACCAGCCTTACTTGTCATACTCTCCCTTTTCGCCCAAGCGGATGGTTGGGTGAGCACTGGAGTCCCTTATACAGCATTATATCCTTTTTAATTAGGTCCTATTCTTCAAAATTATGCTTTATATGGATTTGGCTATAACTACTATGTATTATATGTAAAAAATTTGTAAAAATTATTTGTATTTGTGTCTTTATTTCATTGTTATGTAAGTTTGTTTACATTTCATGAAATCTTGCAGTGTTTGCAGGCACAGGTTGTCCGTGGCTGATCCCTCACCCCCAATGCCCTTCGTGCACAAAACCATGTTCTTCCAGCTTGCGCTGTACTTATTGTGTTGATTTATCAAATCTACAATTTAATTTTGTCTTATTCTATAGACGTGCCATGGATCGGGTGAGGAAGTCATCTCAAGTCACAGCTGATAAAACAGGAGATCAGCCTTCGTATGTTGCTTGCTACTGCTGAAATTCATAATACTGGTGCTATGTTTAGTACGTTGCAGGGGCAGTCTGCTGGTATGGGGACTAAGAAGAGATCGACTACAACGCAGTTGACTCTGTCTCAGGCTAAGAAAAAGACGTCATCCTCTTCTACTCGCAGAAGAAAGCATCTGTTACCAGATCAGAGGGTAAATCTACGCGTGCTAGTAAGTCAACGCAGCAGAAATCCTTCAACGTAGAGATATTACCTCCACATGAAGTAGACGTTATTGATGACCCCCACCTTTCTACCCGAAGTATCTATGAGATCAGCGACTCACTCGACTTCTACAACTACTAGATCGTCCCCTGCAACGGTCACAGCAGGCCAGCTGTTTGACGAACTACCACCTACTTCTCAACGGATTGAAGTTGAGGCGCAGAACTCATCAGCGTTCGCAAACGCTTTTCGTCTACACCGCAGCAGCTTCAACCAACGCAGAACTTTGACCCAGGCGAATTTATGAGACAATTCACCAACCAGATGATGGCCATGATGGAACGTAGGTTCGAGGAAGAAGCGAAGGCTCGGCAAAGCCTCTCATCTACCGACACCGTGCGCAAACCACGGACCTGCGCGAACCTACTCCTCATAGAACTACGTATCAAGACTACGTTGGCGAACGTACACCTTTGCAAAGGTCTCCACAGTCCGACGACTCTGTCATCGTGGAAGAGGATAGAAGAGATGAGATGCCTGCCTACTCACAGTTCTACATCCACGAACCCTCAACGTTCGAGAACATTGAAGGATCCATCTCCTACACCTAGCCGCTCTTGATCAAGATCTCACAGAAGTTCACGAAGTCACTCATCACGAGACAGAGGTTCGCAAAGAGAAGGCTCACATCACAGACGTTCGCGAAGGGAAACATCTAACGACAGACGTTCGCGAAGGGATGAATCTACAGATAGAGGTTCGTGAAGATAGCACTCTCAACATAGACGTTCGCATAGGGAGGATTCTTCAGATAGAGGTTCGCGAAAGGATGACGAAGGTTTGAGAAGGGATACAGGTTCGCAGATGGATGAGTCGCAGAGGCCTAGCACTAATATTCAGGAGACTTTGGATCAGCAAGCAGACTTCGTCTTCCCAGACTCAGAGGTTACAGCATGGATTGCCAACGGGTTGAACTTGGAGTCTCCTTCTAAGGATAAAGATGAAGTCTACACTTATATGATGCGTAACGACGACTTCGACTCCGTCACTATCCCTCCGATTGAACCTATATCCAAGGTACCCTCTGACCTACGCAAAGCTTTCGCAAAAGCATCCAAGTACCAGAGTCAGCATCTACCATCATTTAATGTGAAGAGATTCCCCTTACATCATATGGATCCATTTACAAAGGCGCCTGAATGGGATGATAAAATAAAGTTAGTCAACGACTCCTGAAACAAGATGTATAAAGTGGAAGATAAAAAGTTTCATCAACTTATGATGATAAAATCCATAGATACTCTGACCAACGTCATCCGTCATACTTCGCAAAAGTATAACAGCAAGTCAAAATATTCCGGCATACAGAAGGCAAAGGAGAAGAAGTACCCCAGTTTCAGAGGCGGCAAAGGATCTTTTCGTCGCCCATCCGGAAATTACAGAGGAAACTCAGGGAGAGGCCACACTCCCAGAGGATCCAGAGGAACTAGACGTTGATATCAAGGTTCGGAACGACTGGCATCTTCCACCCCCAGCCGTTCCTGTAAAACCGTCGACAGTGGGTGGACGTCCACAAGGGTACTGGGAAAATTGGGGAATACTAGAGGACGACTACGTCTCCCAAGTACTAAGAGAAGGATACAGAGTACAACTCAAGGCCACATCTCCGCTAACCCTCAGCCAGATGGTCTTCGACTATATAGAGGAGCAGGCAGACAAACTACAAGAAGCCATCGACTCACTACTTATGAAGGAGGCGGTAGAGATAATAGATCAGCATCATCTCACTCCAGGCTTCTACTCCCCAATTTTTCTAGTACCCAAGAAGAGCTCCAAGGAGAAGTTCAGACTGATTTACAACATGCACAAATTCAACAAAGACTATCTACTGAAACCAGAGAGGTTCAGAATGATCCACCTACCTCAACTCAGACTTCTCGTCCTCCAGCAGATTACATGGCCAGCATAGACCTGCAGGATGCGTATCTACACATCCCCATACATCCGGAATCAAGAAAGTGTCTACGATTCCTATTCAGAGGGCAGCACTTCCAATGGAACGTCCTACCGTTTGGAATGTCTTCGGCTCCGTGGCTATTCACACGAGTAACCAAGCCTATAGTCGCATATCTACATCATCGAGGTCTACGCAATGCCTTCTACTTGGAAGACAGAATTCAGGTTCACCAAGATGCCAGTCAACTCAGACTACAGCTGAACTCCACGATCAAGTTGCTCACTCAACTAGGATGGCTGGTGAACCTTATGAAGTCAGAGTTTGAACCAAAACAAGATCTGCAATTCCTGGGGATAAGGTTTATCACAACACAGAATCGTATTGTCGTCCCAGAAGATCGTTGGGTCAAGATACAAGCCATGATTCCACCAGCAGTCATCTCTCCGTTAACACTACAATCATGGCAAATTCTACTCGGTCTACTAACCTCGGCCCAGGACTTGACTCGCACAGGAAGGTTACAACTAAGACCGCTGCAACGGTTCCTGACAAAACATCTAGACAGCATCGACCCAATCTTGCTGCCAGTTCCGGCTCATCATAAGGGAAATAGGATCCCCTTGCATAGACCTGTTTTCCACGGGGTTCAACAAACAACTACAGACGTTTGTCTCACCATTTCCAGATCCTCAAGCCTGGGCAACAGATGCACTGAGCATAGCTTGGGATCGACTAAACGTTTACGCGTTTCCACCCTGATATTACTTCCGGAAGTACTGTTGAAGATCAAACAGACACTGACTTTGGTCGCGCCATACTGCCCAGCGAGAGTATGGTTCCTAGACCTAATAGAAGATCTCGGAAGTCCAGCAATCAATTTACCAGATTGGCTGAACCTACTCATACATCCGCACGCCAAGCAAGTCCACGGGAACCCGACAGCATTCCAGCTACATGTGTGGACCGTATCAAAACATGTTTGAAGAAAGAGGATACTCCGCCAGGGCAGCCAAGGCAGTAACGCTAGCGTTACGCAGATCTACTCGTAACCTGTATGATGACAAATGGCTGAAGTTTGAGACTTATGCAAGGCGGAAAGGCTTCATTGCGATGAAAGCTACTTATCCTCAAGTGGCGGAATATCTGTGTCATCTTAGACAGACCAGACATCTGAAAGGTTCGACATTATCTACATACCTCGCCACCATCAGTACAGTGATTACCATGAAAACAGGCATCAAGTTGACGAAAGTACCAGAATTACTTGCTCTGCTGAGATCTTTTAAACTGGAGGACCAGCAAAGTAAGTTCAGAGCTCCGGCCTGGGATCTGAATGTAAGTCTATGTCATCTTACGAGGGATGCCTACGAACCTCTAGACCAGACTACCTTCGAGTTGCTGACACAGAAGACTCTGTTCCTGCTTGCGCTAGCCACGGCAGCTCGAATATCAGAGATACATGCGCTGGACTTTGGTCAAACCAGATTCAACAGGGGGCAACATGCTGCAGTTCATCTAGGACTTAGATGGGACTTCATTGCCAAGAACCAACTACCTGGTCAACCAGATAGACAGTTCCACGTACCAGCGCTATCTACAATCCTCGGCCCAGAGGATATAGAAGACCTATCCTTGTGTCCGGTCAGAGTCCTGAAGATATATCTTCAAAAGCCTGAGACAAGGAGACAAAAATTCAAGCGCCTGTTCATCCCATTATCCACAGAGACATCAGCAGAAGTCTCAAGAACGACGATATCGTTCTGGATGAGAGCCATCATATTGAGAGCCTATAAAGCAGCAGGACTAGAACCTCCTAGAGCTTCCAACCCACACGAAATCAGAGCACTGGTGTCAACACTGGCTCTGCATGGAAATTGCGCTATACCAGCAGTTATGGAGGGCTGCTTTTGGAAGTCGGACACGGTGTTTGCCAACCACTACCTCCAAGAATCAACTTGTCTGAGACTGAAGTAAGACAAGAAAGTGGTCCCCTTGAGTTATAACGGAAGTTTGAAGAATAGGATCTAGGAAATGCCGTTTCGCAGTTCCCATGGGGGGGATACAGGACGTATCTAAGGACAGCTGATGAATCCACGAAGTGGCTTGACACCACCACCAATCCGTCGGATTCTATAAGCAAAAGATCATGAGTCAGGATAAGAAAAAATATGTTATGACGATAAGCCCTCCCAACCTCCCCGCTGGAGACACTTTGGATTTCACAGCAGATCCAAGTGCATGGGCAGAAAATCAGGAGAGAGGACAAGTAAGGCTGGTCACATGACTGTTTGCCCGGGAAAAGGGCAAAAGGGAGGTAATTCGTGGGTGAGTGTATATTTACGTCCGCTTCGGGAACTTCAAGGGATTCAAGTGTTCCACTACCATTCGAGAAGGAAAGGGAGATAAGCAAAAGATCATGAGTCAGGATAAGTATAAAAATATCAATTTTACTTAAAAAATTACATTGTTGTTATCTCACTACTTATTTATTCATTAACACATGAATATAATACGAAATCAGTTACATTGCTCATCACAACAATGTAAGACTTGTGATTATATTATTAGCTAATCAAAACGGTTGTTCATTGGGCATCGCATAAGTTCTTTTGGTATTATGGAATTATAGATGTTAACCATTTTTTTAGTTTATTTTTAGCTTAATGATATATCATGGGATCACATGCAATATAATGACAATTTATATTTCGGGCATGTTTAAACAGCAACATTGTTATCCAAAACGTGGGTTAATTCTTGTTCTAGAAGTGTGATCAAAACACAGCGGCGGGATCAGGAAGTCTGTTGTCTCTGTCTTGACCTCATCACCCAGCTTGTGCCTCATCTCACCGACCCAGACAACCTGCCCTCCAGGGTGAAGAAGGATTGCAGGGAGATAACTCTGAAACTCATCAGTGCTTTCTGGTTAGTAGACATGAGGTTTATGCTGCATTCGCTACAAGAAATTTTCTTTGTGGGATTCTAGGGATGGGTACGTTCCTTTTGACTTTTGTCATCTCATCAGGGTGTCTTCTGTGAGTGGCATATGCAGAAGTTGTAGAATTTGATAAGGACAAACTCTATGGATGGAGAACTTCTTTATTCGGGTGATGCAACATTCAACAGATTCTTGTATATTTGTCAAGTATCATACTTCTTTATCCTTATCTCATCAGGGTGTGTTTTATATTTGTATAGGTGAATGGATCTGCCTATGTGAACAACAGCCATATGAAAATGATATTAGAATGACTGAATGAGTTTGGTTTTACGCTGCCTCTAGCAATAGTCCAGCAATATCACGGCGTGGGACACCAGAAATGGGCTTCACACATTGTACCCATGTGGGGATTCGAACCTGGGTCTTCGGCGTGACGAGCCAACGCTTTAACCACTAGGCTACCCCCACCGCCCAAAAAATGATATTAGAATGACTTGTTCTTTTAAGAAAATATTTAATACCACTGACTTTAATGGTGTATTAGTTAAGTTGAAAAAACCCCAAGTGAACTTGAAATCAAGTTAAGTTTAATTTGTGTTGAAAATATTATTCATTGCAAAATCTGAAATATATAGTGAAATGATATTAGAATGACTTGTTCTTTTAAGAAAATATTTAATACCACTGACTTTAATGGTGTATATTGTTAAGATTGAAAAAACCCCAAGTGAACTTGAAATCAAGTTAAGTTTAATTTGTGTTGAAAATATTATTCATTGCAAAATCTGAAATATATAGTGAAGAGTTTACTTTAAAGTTTATCACACACTGTGATTTGACATGTGTTGTATTGTGTAGGAGGAAAATGCCAACACTAGGAATACAAGCTTGGAATACAAGCTAGGAATACAAGCTTGGAATACAAGCTTGGAATACAAGCTTGGAATACAAGCTAGGAATACAAGCTAGGAATACAAGCTAGGAATACAAGCTAGGAATACAAGCTAGGCAAACTTTATGGACAACAATGAAATATAGAAGTTGTTATCCATAAAGATTGTCTAGTTTTCATTCTCTCACTCACCTGAATGTCATTGCTGTCTTAATCTGCACAGTTTATGGATTCTGTTTTTTTTTATGCATCTATGATGCTCAGTTTCAGCAAGCTCCGTGGGGATTATGCAGCAGCAGTCAGACTGACCCTGGCCAAGTGTATGCGAGCATTTATGCAGGTATAGTCAAGTCATGTTTCAGTTATGGACAAAATCTCTTGTGTACTTGCCGAAAACTTGGTGCATAGGTATCATAACATATGTATTTTTAGCTGATCTTTTTTCGAGACCAAACACAATATTGCTTGAAAGTTACTGACTGTAATTTCTTCAGACCAGGCCCCCATTTCTCGAAATAAACTTAAGTTTTTACTCAAATTTCAAACTGAGTTTGACAATTTGAAATTTTTAACAGTTTTTAACTCAAGTGCAACTTTAAAATAACAAAAGCCCAAACAACTTAAGTAATATATCCATCAAACTCGAATTGTCTACTGTGTTTGAGTTTAATATTGATTTCAGTTCATTCTGGAAAATGCATTTTCTCAAATTGAGTAAAAACCCTGACTAAGTCAAAACTCAGACTTAAGTTTGTTTCGAGAAATCGGGCCCAGATGAAATGGCACTCTGGGCAAACCTGTCTTTGGTTATACCCTAATGCTGAGTGGCAGGCAGGGTGACAATAAGTAGCATCCTTTTATGGTCTTGCCTGCCTATGAGCCTGAGCTGGAAGCACTGACCTTTTGCTCTCAATGCAGATGCTAAGAAGATCTTCTGCATTGTCATGTTGACCTGGTCAATGAAAGTATGTCTTTCTTTATGATTATCATTTTGTCAAAATTGTGTGTTCTGTTGCAGTGTGATCCTAGTGATGAGTGGAGTATTTTGACGATGAAGAAGGATGAAGATGAGGCTGAAGAGAGCATCTCGTCAGAGTTCCACAACTGTCTGCTTGATACATGTCACATGACATGTCTGTATGTGGCCGAGGCTCTGCAGAAGTGAGTTCTCTGTTGAAACGGACATTTGTTAATCACATGGTGAACGTATGGGTAGTTGAATACTAGTCTCATACGTCACACGAGTGTCGTATCGCGTTGACCTGTGTCGTAACGACTTGACCTGAGATTCTAATGATTTGATTGGATAACCGATGACCTCTCAGTTAGGTCACGTTGTGATGGAACTACTTTTCATTCATAACAAACACGTGAATTCATTCATTCTACAACTTAGATGCATATTGGCATGTAAACATTGAGAACGTTGCCGTGTCGCTGTTTAATTGTAAGTCGAACTGAGACATTATATCCGTCGAAAAACATAAACGCAATGTTTCCACCAGTGATGTTAGCAGAGTGAAGCAGTTGCAAACCAAGAAACGGGGTGCTACGGAGTAGTTTACTGTAGGAGGCTGTACGAGAGGCAATGACAACTGACATGCATCGTGACGTCGGTTACCAAGGGAACAGACGAGAATGGCGTAGTGACGTCAATACAGTGTGACATCATGCAAAAGTGTACTACAGAACAAAATTCTTCTGCAACCTCTTTATGAAACCGGTTTCGGTTTGAAACCATAACAATAACAAAAATACGCTATTTTGTCAATTTAATGCATGTAAGACGTGGGTAATAAATAAAATACCACACTCGGTCTCATTACATACGTTTGAAACACTGTACAAAACAGTTTGGTCGTCTGAGACGCAGATGGTTGCAGTTTGACAGCCCTGATCAACCTTTCGCTCGGTCAGATACCATAGGAAGGACACTCATTTTCGTATAATTCGTATGTAATGAGACCTCGTGTAGTATTCTCTATATATCTCCCATGTCCATATGGCCTGTATACAACTACTATATAATAAGCATTAATATACAGAAAGTGTTTCATGATTCACAAATTTATCATTTCAATCAGGATTTATTAATGACTCTGTTTCAATTTTCAAAAAATAAAATCTCCAGTTTTGGAATAACCTGGCCAGTCAAAAGAACTAATTCAGCAGATAAATTTACTCTCATGCTAAATTTGCAAATACTGAGTGTTGCAAACACACAACAAAAAAGTGTCTTGAGACAAAGTCTTTCCCATAATCAAGGGTTGTGCCAGGGTGGGCAGCATGGGAGACATCCATAGACTCGATAGGATTTTTATGCTCCATACCCCAGCAGACCTCTAACGCTATCACTTTTACTGCAGCCTGTTTGTGATTCCCGCTGAGGATGGCCTGCAACCCAAACCCGCTCAGCAACAACATGCAGCCTTCGACCTCATCTACCAGGACTGTAATGAGCTGATGACATTCAAGGTACTGGGCATCTGTTACACTGATGAAGCCAATTGTTCTACAATCAATCATTACAGCCAACCACCCACCACCTGGCCATTATTACACACAACATTGATCATCCTTAAATCTGTCCATTCATCCATCTGTCAATCTGATCATCCATCCACCTTTCTTTTCCTTCTGCCACCCTTGGATCCCCCCATCCATCCATTCCCCCAATCAATCCATCAATCCATCCGTTCCCTCTCCCACCTATCCATCCAACCACCCACCTATCCATCCAACCACCCACCCACCTATCCAGCCAGCCAGCCAGCTAGCCAACCACCCATTGTTCCACCCATCCATCCATTCAACCATCCATCCATTCCCCCACCCACCCATCGATTCAACCAACCATCCATTCCACCAACCATCCATTCCCCACCCATCCATTCCTCCCCCACCCATCCATTCAACCAACCATCCATTCCCCACCCACCCACCCATCCTATCAACTAACCATTCATTCCCCCACCCATCCATTCAACCAACCATCCATTCATTCACTCATCCATCCATCCATCCATCCTTTCCTTCCCCCACCCACCTGTCCATCCATTCATCCTATCCATCCTTTATTTCTGTGTGTGTAGGAGAGGAAGTCAGCAGAGCGCCAACAGGATGAAGTACTGTGTCGCACCTCGACTGTGCTGACCGCCCTGGCCACAGTGGCCTGCAGTAGCCCGGTCAAGGAGAAGATGTCCCTGTTTGCCCTGTGTCAGCTCATCAAGGAGAAGGGCATTGCAGTGGACAAGGTGCTCAAGGTCAGTCTTGTATATTGCAGTACTATAGAAATAAGTAATTCTTATGAAACTTCTGCTTTTATTACATCATTGATATAAATCCTGTATTTCAGTTGCAATTACGCCCAAAAAAGGCTTATTCTTCTTCATAGAGATCGTCCTTGGGGTACATATTATGCATTTTCCGGCTGAAAAATGTCCTGTGACAGTTGTATCAATGTTTTTTGAATAAAAAGATTGAACAATAAATAAACTCTTTTATTTATTATACGGCCCCTACCTCACGGAGTTACCTCCCGTTGCGCATGCGCACCAACTGGGTAGGCTCCTAGACCCGTATCATCATTCCTTCTGCTGTCACTGCCATGAACAGACGTTAGAGAATTCATGAGCCGTACAGTGCTGAACTTTCTTCAAAAGAAAACGACTATGTCTGAGACACCACCTGTATGTATGGTCTTTATTTGCCTATGAAAAGGAACAGTAAAGCTTTACAGCTGGTTGTTTCATAATTGTAACTTTGTATTATATTATATTACGCAAACTTTCCCGTGGTTTACGCGACGTGTTGCTCTGCCATGGCGGGAAGTTTAGCTTGCCATGTGGTCGTAATATTGCGTATTGAACCAACTATTACTTTCCGCGTGGTAGCCTTCAATGCATTTTCAATGTTTTCTACGTGTATATATGCTGCTGGTCCGCCGTTAGCTACATGCTTGCGTGTTTGCTTTCAGGCCTTTTCATCCTGTTCGGTATGTGGACAGAGCATTCCACGGGCCGACAGGCATGACCAGTGCGTCGCCTGTCTAGAAAAGACTGGCCATGACGCGAACACATGTACCATATGTCTTGGGTTTTCCCCCCGGGCCCAAAAGCGGAGGGCGGCGGACACGCTATTTTACAAAGAGATGCGGAGGGGCGGTGGGGAACTGACGCAGGTCCCCCCGTCTAAGACTAAGAGACAGTCACGTCAGGGAAAAAAATCCCGAAGCCAAACCGCCTCTCCCGCTAGTACTGGTGGTTTTGATATGACACTAATGGACAAATTGTTTCAGCAGCATATGGACTCTGTGAAGTCCCTCGTTCGTGAGTCTGTTGGAGGTCTCCGCCAGGAGTTCCTCGCTCACTCCGGACGGGGGGCGGAGAGTCAGGGGGTGGGATCGCCGGGCTCAGCTCGATCCCTCAGCCTTGAGGCGTCTGTAGACCTGTTGCCTCTGGCTTCGGGTCCGGACGCCTCGGCTGCCCCGGAGGGGGAGGTGCTCCCAGTTCCCCTCTCGGAGTTGGCGCAGGGACCGTTGAGTATTCCTGGTGTTCCGGTCCCTGCGCACTCCCGCCCCATGAGAGCCGAGGCACCAGTTCTGCCTGGTCTGCCTCCAGCGCCTCGGACCGGGGTCCGTGCACGCTTCCAGGCGCCCGGCGGAGCTCTGTCTGCTCTTCCTCTCTGTGCTTCCTAGCGCTAGGCCGCCCACCGGTCGGGTTAGGGTCCTCTTTCGGAGGAGACTCCAGCCTCTGACTCGGGCTTGGGCCGAAGTCGATGGAGCTGGGGAGGTAGAGGAGCATGACGGTGGTTTCCGCTTTGCTTCGCTCTGCGGGAGGTCCGCAAAGAATTGCCATGGGCCTACCCCAAACCGCTGTGCCTGTTGGCTGCTCGGACTCGGCTGAGTTCCCGCTTGCCAGGCGAGGCGTTTGCCCCTCGGGCAGCCCTCGCAGACGCAGCTCCGCGATTCTGCCTTCGTTGGTTCAGGACGGGTCGAGCCCCTCTTGTCTGGTACCCGTGTTCGGGTTCGACTTGCCGGATTTAGCACGGAGGTACCAACTTGGGAGGACTCCCTGTTCGTTGTTCCCATCGCTGACGAGTGCGCGGTTCACTTCCGTCGCCTCTGGGGAGGCTCGGCTTCCTCCGAGCAGCTCCGCTGCTCGGCAAGGGCGCCTCACTCCACCGCTTGCCCTCGCTGGAGCCTCCCCTGCGGCGCAGCGCACCGGACCTACGCAGGAGGTTCACCGGAACGCGATGCAGCAGGTCAGGGTGGTGGTCCATGAGGCCTACCTCTCCTCGATTCAGAGGTCGGCCCTGGAGGCGGAGGGGCATGCTGGCGACGTTGCCGCGATGTCGCGGCTGTCTCCGCCAGCTCGGAAGTTCAGGCACACACCTCAGCGACTCTTTGGCGGTCTGCTGTGTCGACGGTGATGTGCGCAGTCATGGGGATGCGCAGGCTGTGGCTGTCGACGTCTCGGTACTCGGCAGCGACGCAGCAGACCTTGCTGGCCCTCCCTTTCCGTCTGGGAGCGACCCTCTTTCCAGGGGCCCAGCAGGTCATACGGGAGGCTGCCGCTGCAGCTACCTCCTTCAAGGACTCTAAGGCCTTGTTGGAGCACCCGCGGGTGTCTCGCCCCCGGGCTCCCGTTCCACCTTCCTCCGCCGGGGTGCAGCCTACACCCGAGTCTGCCGGCTGGCTTCGGCCGCTTGGTAGGGGTAGGCGGAGGAGCAGGTCCGCCAAGGGTAGGGGCAAGGAGCAGTCCTCGACTAGCTCCCAGCCTTTTCGCGGGCGCGGGAGGTCTGCCCCGACCTCCCGTTAACCCATCAGGCTGCCGCTCAAGCTGTGTGTCACACCCAGTCAGCTCCGCTGCTCGGGACAACGCACGCGCTCCTACCCCATATCCCAGTGGGAGGCCGCCTCTCTCTATTCCTGCCGGAATGGGAGAAGGCTACCAACAATGTTTGGGTGCTGGCCACGGTCAGCATCGGCCATTTACCACTGTGGAAGCGAGGTCCGCCCGACTTCACCGGCATACGCCGCGACTCCGGTGCCGCCATGTCAGGCAAGGGCGGACATATTGGCGCCGACGGTTCAGGCTCTGCTGGACAAGTCCGCTAATCGGCGCATTCCACCGGAGAGGAACAGGCGGGATTTTACTCCACGTACTTCCTTCGGCCCGAAGAAAGACGGCGGGTTCCGTCCGATTCTCAACCTCAAGGGGTTGAATCGCATGCTCGAAGTACCATCCTTCAAGATGGAGACACTGCGCGCCGGTGATATCATCTGTTCAGCCCGGGCGATTGGCTCACGCCAATCGACCTAAAGGATGCGCGATCTGCATGTGCCCATACATCCCTCGCTCAAGCAGTACCTTCGGTTCTCTTTACGACGGATGTGTTACCAATTCAGGGTGCTCCCCTTCGCATATCGACTGCCCCAAGGGTGTTCACCAAGCTCATGTTAGTCCGGCTACCCCGGCCCGCCGCTTCAAAGGAAGGCGTTGTTACCCTTACCTCGGCGACTGGTTGCTCGGTGCACTAACACAGCCAGCGAGTCTAGAGGCTACTCACACAGTGATAGACATTCTAACTCGACTGGGGTGGATAATCAACCTCAAGAAATCCGACCTGGTACCCACCCAGGACTTGGTTTTTCTTGGAGCGCGATTCCAAACGAACAAGGATCTCGTTTCCTTGTCGCCCGACCGGATCACCAGAGTTCGGGAGATGGTATCTTCGTTCCTCTCCCAGCCCCAGGCACCAGCACGGACTTGGCTCCATCTACTGGGCCATATGGCGGCGACGATCATGGCGGCGGTTGAGGATGCGTCCTATACAGCAAGCTTTGGCTCGGCTGTGGACTCACACGGAGGATCTGGAGCGCAGTCTCACAGTCCCCGAGTGGTTGACACCTCACCTTCAGTGGTGGACAAATGTCGGGAATCTCACCAGGGGGATCCCCTTGGCAATCCCGACGCCAGCTCTCACAGTTCAGACCGATGCGTCCCTCACGGGCTGGGGGTTGTTCTGGGCAGTCTGTCGGCGTTCGGACTCTGGTCCGAAGCCGAAGCCCACCTTCACATCAACGTGTTGGAACTGAGAGCTGTGCGGTTGGTATTCGAGCGCTTCAGAGAGCATGTCCGTGGCCAGGTAGTCCGTCTTCAGTTGGACAACCAGACGGCCATGTCGCACATCCTGAAGCAGGGCGGCACGGTGTCCCCCAGCTCCTCCGGGAGCGTGGGACTTTCTCCTCTGGTGCGATCAGTGCGACTGTCAGGTACTCCCTGTTTATCTCCCGGGCTGGAGAACGGCGCGAGCAGATCGCCGATCCCGGCCCTGGCCCCGCGCAGTGGATGCTCGACAGGCAGATTTTCAGAGTAATCTCCCAGTTGTACAGGGTCGCTCCAGGTGGATCTGTTTGCGTCCGGCAGGACGCATCAGACACCCGTGTTCTGCTCGGATACCGGACCCAGGAGCGTTGGCTGCCGGACGCCTTCCTGCTGGATTGGGACGGGCAAAGTGCTCTATGCTCCCGCCGTTACCACTCATTCCCCGTGTCCTTTCACAGCTGTCCACCCAGCCAGCTCGGCTACTTGTGCTACTGGCACCGCTTTGGCCGTCACAGAGCTGGTTTCCGGTAATTCTCAGGTTTCTGGCTCAGCCTCCTGTTCTATTACCTTTACGACTGGACATTCTCACTCAGAACGGAGCGCCCCACCCAAATCCACGGATTCAGTGGGTGGCTTGGCCTCTGTCAGGTCTGACCTCGGAATTCCTGCAGCAGTTGCAGACACAATTCTGGCTTCGGCGGATTCGACAAACGTTCAGTACGAGGATAGGTGGTCCGCTATATGCCGCTGGTGTTCAGATAGGGGCATTGCAGATCCCTTTTCTGCGGATTTAGTCCGAGTATTGGAGTTTTTGCAAGCTCGTTTGGAAGAAGGCCTGGCGGCTTCGACCATTCATTCGTGGCTACTCCACCGCTATTTCCACTTTTCACACCCCTGTCGATGGTGCTCTTCTGGGGCAGCACCCCTCGCATGGCGCTTTCTTGCTGGCGGAGCGGATTCGACCTGGCGCTCAGGCGAACCAGTCCACCTTGGGATTTGTCAATTGTGCTAGATTGGCTGTCCGGTCCAACTTTCTCACACCTATCGGCTATTTCCATTCAGTTGTTAACTTGGAAAGCTGTTTTTCTGGTGGCGGTAACATCTGGACGTAGGGTCAGCGATTTACATGCTATGTCGTCCGACCCGGCGCTGACTGTGTTTCACACGGATCGTGTCAGTATTCGCCTCCCAGATACTTACCGACCGAAGGTCGATCACGCTTTCCATGTGACAGCTCCTATCGAACTTCCTACTCTTACCCAGCCTTCCACATCGGGGACCACTCCTACGAGCACTCACCCGTTGGATGTCCGTAAGACGCTCAAAGTCTATATCAAACGAACGCAGGGAATCCGTACGGGTACCCAGCTGAATTTGGAGCCGGCCAAGCACGTTTATACAGCACTATCAGCTCGATACACATTCCCGTAATCGTGCGAGCTTTGGCCGTTCTGTTCTCTCCAGTGGACAGTGTCCTGCCACCCTGACCGAGTGAGTCTTGGTTTATTGGTTTGTTTTTTGACGCTGCTGTACAATAATTGCGTATTATTGACATATCTGCTACTGTGAGCTAACTACATGTACCCCCTTTCGATTCTCTCAGGAGTTATTTGTCGATTGTGAGCGGTATTTACATTCCCCCCTACGGTGCTCACTAATAGACACATGGTGGGTGGGGCTTTGTTGACATTCGCACCACGCGGCGTTGTCTCACTATGCTAAATGGAGGTCGTCTTTGAGTACACTTCCTCCCTGTCAGTTCCCTCCCATAATGCCTCGCGAAGCATAACTGGGACAAGTGACAGGTGAGTGTTATGGCGCCTGTTCAATTTTTTTTTCCATGATCTGATCGCTATCTTTTTGTGTGTGCTTGGACAGAATTCCCTCCTCCCTGGCCTCCGGTCTTTGGGAGTATGTGTTTATGCATAATATGTACCCCAAGGACGATCTCTATGAAGAAGAATTAACCAAACCTGAAGAGGTTTTCAATTCTTCGAAGAGAGTCGTCCTTGGGGTAGGGCCTCCCGCCTCCCTGCAATTCTGTTCACTGATATATTCAGCAGAAGGAATGATGATACGGGTCTAGGAGCCTACCCAGTTGGTGCGCATGCGTAACGGGAGGTAACTCTGTGAGGTAGGGGCCGTATAATAAATAAAAGAGTTTATTTATTGTTCAATCTTTTTATTCAAAAAACATTGATACAACTGTCACAGGACATTTTTCAGCCGGAAAATGCATAATATGTACCCCAAGGACGACTCTCTTCGAAGAATTGAAAACCTCTTCAGGTTTGGTTAAGTTTTCCAACAGAACTCCCCTTTGCTTTTGGAATTATATTTTGAAGGTTTACTAAATTATGAAACAGAATCGATCCTTCCAAAACCAGCATCTTGTTCCATGTGGCAGGTGCTGCGGAAGGTGAGTGTGTTGCTGGGATACACAGATGTGACGCCGTACATCTGCAGCCACCTGCCGTTTCTCCTCAGTCAGTGGCTCGAACTCAGCTACCCGCTCGCGGACTTCCCCTACAGGTTACTGGGCGTAGACAGCTTAGTAGCATTCTTCAGGTAACTGACATCATGCTTTGACCATGCTGATAGTCTTTCTCTCCTTTGGGCAGAAAAGAAAAAAATTCAGATAGAAAGAGAATGGTTCATTGTAATGATAGATGCCTTCCTTTCGAACAAGACATTCTTTAAAAGACTTCTGTATCACCCTCATGTCATCCGTGGCCAGAATCCGGAATACAAGCACGAACACATGCATGTACATTGCTGTCTGAGGGTCAACGAAAAAAATCAATCATGATAACGGATCTCATTGTAGCATATTGTTTAACAAGCTCCACTCCTTGAGATCAGATACTATTTTTGCCGGCAGAAACAGTACTGGCATTACTAGTGCAAAGGGAAGAGAAAGTTTCATTTCAGTTCTGCTCAGTATTTGTAACTTTGTAAATTCCTAACTTTCTGTAACATTCACAAATACAATATGGAGTATCTGTCCTGTGTCCAATCCTAACTTCTGTTGGGACTGTTGCAGGTCATATGGCGACGTCTTAGTGCCTGGCCTGTTCATGTATGGCCTGCTGGAAGACATCCAGACACTGGCCACAGACACTGAGCAGGGCTGGAAGCAGATCATCATCGACAGCATCCCCAACATCGTCACCCACATCCTGCCGTTGTTTGCAGCTTCTACCTCAGAGGAGGTTGCCAGTGACCGAGAGGTGAAGAAGAGAACAAGCCTTGCTTCGAGGCGTTATGACGTGTTGGTGAAGGAGGTCACAAGTGAGGTAGGATATGTTACACTCTGATGTTTGAGCATCTGTCATAACAATACTATTGATGTTTGAAGATGAATGTAAGTAGGGATAAAGTGGAAAGCCATTGATAACACAGATCATGTTTTAAGTCTTCCACTTATATGTAGCTCACATATTTGAAATTGACGCATTAACTTGTGTTACTGGCACACAAGGATAAGTTGAGCATCAACCTGACAATTGACCTGTATTAGCATGTATGAGTGCTGCCGACTGGCGCTTGCCATCATTAGCGAAGGGGCCCCAAGTTGTCTGCGATCAAGTGTAGTGCGACTTTCGACACACCGACGTGAGAGTCTTATGAGCAAGGCGTGTGCAGCTGCATGCCGAATCAATTTCATCGTCATGCAATGCACGTGCACTAACCTACATCTGCTGTACCTTTTACAAACCAAATGGGTTTGCTCATTGCCGTGCACCGCCTACTTCTCGTAAACGTGTTCTCTGCGCCGGTCCAACTTAGCATTGTTTGCCAGTGGATATGTTAAAATAATTACATGGTTTGTCAGTCAGTAACTTTATGCTTCAAGGGTTGTGTTTGCAGGTGATAGATCGAGAGATTCATGCTAACCTAGACATCATCATCGTCAACATCCTGATGTGTCTGCACGGAACTGGAAGTGAGGTGGCAGACGGCAGGTACACCACCAAATGATATAAATATTCGGAAAGTGTACTGAGTGCGTGTCCTGGCAGTACCTGCATCATGGTATTCTGTTAATGCTGTCGGTTAAATGTTCCTGACTCAGTAGTTTAGGTGTTAATCAACGTTTGGTCATTCACTTACTTACCATGATGTCATTTTTTGTATCACATTTACTTTGACAGTAACTTCCATGTCGAGTGGCACAAGAAACCCGTGAAGATCCTGGCTAAAATTGTCTTCAACAACCCATTCTTGCAGGCGACTATCAGGATCGGGTGGTCAGACTCACTGACTTGGTTGGTGCTTGTCATCCTGTCCTAGATTGATGCTCATGTCAATCACTGGTCGAGACTCGATTTTTGACAGATCGCCATAAAATAGCTGAAATATGTCTGAGTGTGGCATTTAAGAACACAGAAAACAAAGTGTATCACAAGAAAATGTATCATAACAGCTCCAGTCATCGAAAGTACTTTGCAGAGAGGACCACAATGTTCCAACCATGTTTGCTGTCATATATCACTGTCTCAATAGTTAATAGACCAGCAAGTGATGGTCACTGTTGAGTTTCATCAATGTGTATTGTCAACCATTGGATTTCAGTTATTAAGAGGTTGGAGGTATGCAGACTGAGGATGAAAGGACACTGACTCCCTGACTCGTGTGTTTCAGCTGCTGCCCGGACCCGAACCCCCCCAGTTACAACAGCTACATCATCAAGTCAACGCTGGACTACCTCACCAACAGCTTCTCAGGCAGCGCGGCCAGGTCCCTCGTGTCTGTACTGGCTAAAACACAGGTACTACTCAAATTACTTTAGAGTGAGTGAGTGAGTTTAGTTTTATGCCACTTTTAGCAATATTCCAGCGATATCATGGCGGGAGACACCAGAAATGGGCTTCACACATTGTGACCATGTGGGGAATCGAACCCGGGCCTTCGACGAGTGCACGCTTTAACCACAAGGCTATCCCACTGCCCCAAATTACTTTAGAGCTGGATTTACTTATTCCACATTTCAAGTGGTCACAGGTTTGTCTCTTTTGTTTTGACTTGATCAAGCTTCTAATTGGATTAAAAAGATGCAAGCATTGGATTAACTACAGACACAAAGGAAATATCTGTTATCATGTTGTTTGTTTTAGATGGGCATTTGGTATGCCTAATATTTTGCATGTTTTTTGGCCTTCAGATTTGAACTTTTTCTGAATCATGGTGGATGTGGTGATGAATATGTTAGGGATAATGATGATGATAAAATGTAGTGGCGATGATGATGATGATGATGATGATGATGATGATGATGATGATGATGATGACAATGGCGATGATAGTGACGACAATGATGATGATATAACTCTTGTTACCCATGGTGGAGGTGTTGATGGTTGAGATGATGACGATGACAACAAAGATGATGATGATATAACTCTTGTTACGTATGGTGGAGATGGTGATAGTGGTGATGATGATGATATAACTCTTGTTACGTATGGTGGAGATGGTGATAGTGGTGATGATGATGATGATATAACTCTTGTTACATATGGGTGAGGTGGTGATAGTGGTGATGATGATGATGATATAACTCTTGTTACGTATGGTGGAGATGGTGATAGTGGTGATGATGATGATGATATAACTCTTGTTACATATGGTGGAGATGATGAAAGTGGTGATGATGATATAACTCTTGTTACGTATGGTGGAGATGGTGATAGTGGTGATGATGATGATGATATAACTCTTGTTACATATGGGTGAGGTGGTGATAGTGGTGATGATGATGATGATATAACTCTTGTTACATATGGTGGAGATGGTGATAGTGGTGATGATGATGATGATATAACTCTTGTTACATATGGTGGAGATGGTGGTAGTGGTGACGTTGATGATGATATAACTCTTGTTACGTATGGTGGCGATGGTGATGATGAAGACGACGATGATGATATAACTCTTGTTACACATGGGTGAGGTGGTGATAGTGATGATGATGATGATGATATAACTCTTGTTACACATGGTGGAGGTGGTGATAGTGGTGATGATGATGATGATATAACTCTTGTTACGTATGGTGGAGGTGGTGATAGTGGTGATGATGATGATGATATAACTCTTGTTACGTATGGTGGAGATGGTGATAGTGGTGATGATGATGATATAACTCTTGTTACACATGGGTGAGGTGGTGATGATGAAGACGATGATGATGATTTAACTCTTGTTACACATGGTGGAGGTGGTGATAGTGGTGATGATGATGATGATGATATAACTCTTGTTACATATGGTGGAGGTGGTGATAGTGGTGACGATGATGATATAACTCTTGTTACACATGGGTGAGATGGTGATAGTGGTGACGATGATGATGATATAACTCTTGTTACGTATGGTGGAGGTGGTGATAGTGGTGATGATGATGATATAACTCTTGTTACATATGGTGGAGGTGGTGATAGTGGGTGATGATGATGATATAACTCTTGTTACATATGGTGGAGGTGGTGATAGTGGTGACGATGATGATGATATAACTCTTGTTACAGTATGGTGGAGGTGGTGATAGTGGTGATGATGATGATATAACTCTTGTTACACATGGTGGAGGTGGTGATAGTGGTGATGATGATGATGATATAACTCTTGTTACATATGGTGGAGGTGGTGATATGGTGGTGATGATGATGATATAACTCTTGTTACATATGGTGGAGGTGGTGATAGTGGTGACGTTGATGATGATATAATTCTTGTTACACATGGTGGAGGTGGTGATAGTGGTGAGGATGATGATGATATAATTCTTGTTACATATGGTGGAGATGGTGATAGTGGTGATGATGATGATGATATAACTCTTGTTACACATGGTGGAGGTGGTGATAGTGGTGATGATGATGATGATATAACTCTTGTTACATATGGTTGAGGTGGTGATAGTGGTGACGTTGATGATGATATAACTCTTGTTACACATGGGTGAGATGGTGATAGTGGTGGCGATGATGATGATATAACTCTTGTTACGTATGGTGGAGGTGGTGATGATAAAGACGATGATGATGATATAACTGGTTGAGGTGGTGATGATGATGATGACGATGATGATGATGATATAACTCTTGTTACATATGGTTGAGGTGGTGATAGTGGTGACGTTGATGATGATATAACTCTTGTTACACATGGGTGAGATGGTGATAGTGGTGGCGATGATGATGATATAACTCTTGTTACGTATGGTGGAGGTGGTGATGATAAAGACGATGATGATGATATAACTGGTTGAGGTGGTGATGATGATGATATAACTCTTGTTACGTATGGTGGAGGTGGTGATGATAAAGACGATGATGATGATATAACTGGTTGAGGTGGTGATGATGATGATATAACTCTTGTTACATATGGTGGAGGTGGTGATAGTGGTGACGTTGATGATGATATAACTCTTGTTACATATGGTGGAGGTGGTGATAGTGGTGATGATGATGATGATATAACTCTTGTTACACATGGGTGAGATGGTGATAGTGGTGGCGATGATGATGATATAACTCTTGTTACGTATGGTGGAGGTGGTGATGATAAAGACGATGATGATGATATAACTGGTTGAGGTGGTGATGATGATGATGACGATGATGATGATGATATAACTCTTGTTACACATAGTGGAGGTGGTGCTAGTGGTGAGGATGATGATGATATAACTCTTGTTACATATGGTGGAGGTGGTGATAGTGGTGAGGATGATGATGATATAACTCTTGTTACATATGGTTGAGGTGGTGATAGTGGTGACGTTGATGATGATATAACTCTTGTTACACATGGTTGAGGTGGTGATGACGATGATGATGATATAACTCTTGTTTCACTTGGTGGAGGTGGTGATAGTGGTGATGATGATGATGATATAACTCTTGTTACACATGGTTGAGGTGGTGATGACGATGATGATGATATAACTCTTGTTTCACTTGGTGGAGGTGGTGATGGTGGTGATGATGATGATTATGATGACGACGACGATGATGATGATAGAACTCTTGTTACACTTGGTGGAGGTGGTGATGGTGGTGATGATGACGATGATGATGACGATGATGATGATATAACTCTTGTTTCACTTGGTGGAGGTGGTGATGGTGGTGATGATGATGATGATGATGACGATGATGATGATAGAACTCTTGTTACACATGGTGGAGGTGGTGATGATGATGATGATGATGATGATGATATAACTATTGTTTCACTTGGTGGAGGTGGTGAACTCTTGTTACACATGGTGGAGGTGGTGATGGTGGTGATGATGATGATGATGACGACGAAGATGATGATAGTGTAACTCTTGATACATTTGGTGGAGGTGGTGATGATGATAATCAGTGATGGTGGGGGTAGTGATGATGACGACGATGAAGTTAGTGTTGTTGATAATTGGAGTGATGATGCTAGTGATGATGATGCTAAAAATGATGATGATGCTGACGACAACGATTATGATGGTGACGACGACAATGGTGATGATGATTATGACAATGATGATGATGATGATGATGATGATGATGATGATGATGATGATGGGAGTTATGGTGATAATGATAGCAGTGATGTCCTTGGTATTTCAGGACTCAATCCAGAGAGTCCTCCTGAAGCTGGCTACCAGTCTGTCCACAGAACATCGTATCCAGGAAAAGCGCCGGATTCTGAAAATGTACCAACTGTTTGTGGAGATGCTTCTCCCGGAGTTTGCCAGCACCCTTGGTGGCAGCTGGGGTTTCATTCTGAGGGATGTCATCCATCGGCTAGTGCATGTAATCAGGGACATCAACACACAACACAGGTAAGTACTTATATAGGCCTACAGATTGATGCTACATATTGATGCTACAGATAGGTGCTTACAGATAGATGCTACAGATAGGTGCTTACAGATAGATGCTACAGATAGGTGCTTACAGATAGATGCTACAGATAGATGCCACAGATAGGTGCTTACAGATAGATGCTACAGATAGGTGCTTACAGATAGATGCTACAGATAGGTGCTTACAGATAGATGCTACAGATAGGTGCTTACAGATTGATGCTACAGATAGATGCCTATAGATATATGCCTACAGATAGATGCTACAGATAGGTGCTTACAGATAGATACTACATATAGGTGCTTACAGATAGATGCTACAGATAGGTGCTTACATATTGATACTACAGATAGGTGCTTACAGATAGATACTACAGATAGGTGCTTACAGATAGATGCTACAGATAGGTGCTTACAGATAGATGCTACAGATAGGTGCTTACAGATAGATGCTACAGATAGATGCTACAGATAGGTGCTTACAGATATATGCTACAGATAGGTGCTTACAGATAGATGCTACAGATAGATGCTTACAGATAGATGCTACAGATAGATGCTACAGATAGGTGCTTACAGATAGATGCTACAGATAGATGCTTACAGACAGATGCTACAGATAGGTGCTTACAGATAGGTGCTTACAGATAGATGCTACAGATAGGTGCTTACAGATAGATGCTACAGATAGGCGCTTACAGATAGATGCTACAGATAGGTGCTACAGATAGGTGCTTACAGATAGATGCTACAGATAGATGCTACAGATAGGTGCTTACAGATAGATGCTACAGATAGGTGCTTACAGATTGATGCTACAGATAGGTGCTTACAGATAGATGCTTCAGATAGATGCTTACAGATAGGTGCTTACAGATTGATACTACAGATAGTGCTTACAGATAGATGCTACAGATAGGTGCTTACAGATTGATGCTACAGATGATGCTACATATAGATGCCTATAGATATATGCCTACATATGGATCCTACAGATAGATGCCTACAGATAGATTCCTATAGATGTATGCCTATATTTGGATGCCTACAGATGTATGCCTACAGATAGATGCCTACAGGTGGATGCTACAGATAGATGCCTACAGATGGATGCTACAGATACATGCCTATAGATGGATGCCTGCAGATAGATGCCTACATATAGATGCCTACAGATAGATGCCTATAGATATATGCCTACATATAGATACTACAGTCAGTATAGTCAGGGCTATTTAACATGATAGTTACATTTTGTTGAAATGAAACGCCAGGTCATGACCAAGTTGCTCTCCATTGGCCATAGGGAATGTTTAGCATCTACCTGACGATATATATCTTGATATGACTTATCTATATTTCAGAAACAATTTTGTGATTGACCATTAATCTAGTATGAAGATATGAAGCTTGATATGTCTTTTTTCATTTTTCCAGAGATGTCTTTGTGAGTGACCATGAATCGAGGCAATCCATGATAGAGGCATGTATTGGGCTGCTCCACGACATCTGTACAGTGGCCCTGGAGAGTTGTCCGGAGGTGGGTTATCTCCCCTGCGGGAAGACCTTGGTTTGAGAAATCTGCAGGAACGTTTTTTCTTTTTCTGATTCAGTTTCAAATAGTTATAAGTCACAGGGGTATAGCTGGTATGCCATTTTACCATGCTTGGATCCATGTCTGGGGTTTGAAACTCCCGATTGGTCCCGATTTTATCATCTGTAAATTCTTCTTCATAGAGATCGTCCTTGGGGTACATATTATGCATTTTCCTGCTGAAAAATGTCCTGTGACAGTTGTATCAATGTTTTTTGAATAAAAAGATTGAACAATAAATAAACTCTTTTATTTATTATACGGTCCCTACCTCACGGAGTTACCTCCCAACTGGGTAGGCTCCTAGACCCGTATCATCATTCCTTCTGCTGTCACTGCCATGAACAGACGTATGTAATACTTCATGAGCCGGACGTAGCTGAACTTTCTGATGAACCAGAAATTGAATATGTCTCAAACACCACCTGTATGTATGGTCTTTATTTGCTTATGAAAGGAACAGTAAAGCTTTACAGTTGGTTGTTTCATAATTGTGACTTTGTATTAATTCTAAATCGCGAACTTTCCCGTTGTTTACGCACGTGTTTGCTTTCAGGCCTTTTCATCCTGTTCGGTCTGTGGACAAAGTATTCCAGAAGACGGGACACGATGCGGAATCTTGTCCAATATGTCTTGGGTTTTCCCCCCGGGCCCAAAAGAGGAGGGTGGCGGATCGCTCTTCTACCGGAGAGAATCGTGGCGGGTGGGGAACTGGCGAGGGTCCCCGTCTAAGGCTAAAAAGCCGTCAAAAAGGGAAAAAATCCCGTGGCCAAACCCCCTCTCCCGCCAGTACTGGTGGCTTTGACATGTCTATAATGGAAACCTTGTTTCAGCAGCATATGGACTCTGTGAAGTCCCCGTTGAGTGAGTCAGTTGGAGGTCTCCGGCAGGAGTTCCTCGCTCACTCGGGGAGGCGGAGGAAGTCAGGGGTGGGATTGCCGGGCTCGGCTCGATCCCTCAGCCTTGAGGCGTCTGTTGACCCGTTGCCTCTGGCTTGGTCCGGATGCCTCGGCTGCCCCGGAGGGAGGTGCTCCCAGTCCCCTCTCGGAGTTGGGCGCAGGGACCGTTGAGTATTCCTGGTGTTCCGGTCCCTGCGCCTCCCGCCCCATGAAGCCGGAGGCACCAGTTCTGCCTGGCCTGCCTCCAGCGTCACCGAGACCCGGGTCCATGCAGCCTGCTGGCTGCGGCGTGGAGCAGTCTGTCTGCTCTTCCCTTTCTGTGCTTCCTAGTGTTAGGCAGCCCACCGGGTCGGGGTTAGGGTCCTCTTTGGGAGGGCCAGCCTCTGACTTCGGGCTCGGAGCGCCGAGGCAATGGAGCAGGGGAGGTTGAGGAGCATGGCGGAGGCTTCCGTTTTGCCGGCTCTGCGGGAGGTCGGCAAAAGAATTGCCGAGGGCCTACCCAAGCAGCGGTGCCTGTTGGTTGCGTGGACTCGGCTGAGTTCCGCTTGCCTGGCGAGGCGTTTGCCCCTTGGCAACCCTCGCAGGCCGCATCCGCATTTGCCGCCGTTGGTCTCCAGGCGTGGTTGATCCCCTCTTGTCTGGTGCCCGAGTCGGTTCGACTTGCGGATCTCGTGCGGCGCTACCAGCAGGGGGAGGACTCCCTGTTTGTAGTTCCCATCGTTGGCGAGTGCATGTTCACTTCCGTTAAGCCCTGGGGGGAGGCTCGGCTTCCTCCAGAGCAGCTCCGGCTGCTCGGCAAGAGGCGCCTCACTCCACCTTGCCCTCGCGGAGCATCCCCTGCGACGCGCGTGCGGACCTCTGAGGAGGTCTACGGGCAGCTATGCAGCAGGTGCGGTCAGTGGTCCACGAGGCCTACCTCTCCTCGATTCAGAGGTCGGCCCTGGGCGGAGGGCATGCTGGCGGCGTTTACGCCACATGTCGTGCTGCTCCGTCAGCTCTCGGAAGTTCAGGCACACCGGCGCGACTCTTTGCGGTCTGCAGCGTCGGCGGTGATGTCGCAGTCATGGGGATGCGCCAAGCTGTGGCTGTCGGCGTCTAGGTACTCGCGGCAGCGGCGCAGCAAACCTTGCTGGCCTCCCTTTCCGTCTGGGGCGACCCTCTTTCCAGGGGCCCAGCAGGTCATACGGGAGGCTGCTGCTGCAGCTACCTCCTTCAAGGATTCTAAGGCCTTGTTGGAGCACCCGCGGGTGTCTGGCGGCGCTCCGTTCCACCTTCCTCCTCCGGGGCGCAGCCTACGCCCGAGTCTGCCTGCTGGCTTCCGGCGCTTGGTAGGGGTAGGCGGAGGCACAGGTCCGCCAAGGGTAGGGGCAAGGAGCAGTCCTCGACTAGCTCCCAGCCTTTCAGACTGCCGCTCAAGCCGTGTGTCACACCCAGTCAGCTCCGCTACTAGGGTCCACGCACGCGCTCCTACCCCATATCCCAGTGGGAGGCCGCCTCTCTCTATTCCTGCCGGAATGGGAGAAGGCTACCAACAACGCTTGGGTGCTGGCCACGGTCAGCATAGGCCATTTACCACTGTGGAAGCGAGGTCCGCCCGACTTCACTGGCATACGTCGCACTCCGGTGCCGTCATGTCAAGCCAGGGCGGACATATTGCGCGACGAAGTTCAGGCTCTGCTGGACAAGTCCGCAATCGGCGCATTCCACCGGGGAGAGGAACAGGCGGGATTTTTACTCCGCGTACTTCCTCGTCGAAGAAAGACGGCGGGTTCCGTCCCATTCTCAACCTCAAGGGGTTGAATCGCATGCTAAAGTACCATCCTTCAAGATGGAGACACTGCTTTCGGTGATCTCATCTGTTCAGCCTGGCGATTGGCTCCGTCAATCGACCTAAAGGATCGCGATATCTGCATGTACCAAAACATCCATCGTTCAAGCAGTACCTTCGGTTCTCTTACGGACGGGATGTGTTACCAATTCAGGGTGCTCCCCGCCCGGCATATCGACTGCCCCAAGGGTGTTCACCAAGCTCATGTTAGTCCCAGCTACCCTAGCTTCGTTAGCAAAGGAAGCGTTGTTACCCTTACCTAGGCGACTGGTTGCTCCGAGCACTAACTCAGCCAGCGAGTCAAGATGCTACTCACACAGTGATAGACATTCTAACTTCGACTGGGGTGGATCATCAACCTCAAGAAATCCGACCTGGTACCCACCCAGGACTTGGTTTTTCTTGGGTAGCGATTCAAGCGAACAAGGATCTCGTTTCCTTGTCGCCCGACCCGGATCACCAGAGTTCAGGAGATGGTCTCTTCATTCCTCTCCCAGCCCCAGGCACCAGCACGGACTTGGCTCCGTCTACTGGGCCATATGGCGGCGACGATCTCTGTAGTGTGGCGGGCGCGGTTGAGGATGCGTCCTATACAGCAAGCTTTGGCTCGGCTGTGGACTCACTCGGAGGATCTGGAGCGCAGTCTCACAGTCCCCGAGTGGTTGACACCTCACATTCAGTGGTGGACAAATGTCGGGAATCTCACCAGGGGGATCCCCTTGGAAATCCCGACGCCAGCTCTCACAGTTCAGACCGATGCGTCCCTCACGGACTCTGGTCCGAAGCCGAAGCCCACCTTCACATCAACGTGTTGGAACTGAGAGCTGTGCGGTTGGTATTCGAGCGCTTCAGAGAGCATGTCCGTGGCCAGGTAGTCTGTCTTCAGTTGGACAACCAGACGGCCATGTCGTACATCCTGAAGCAGGGAGGCACGGTGTCCCCAGCGCTCCTCCGGGAGGCGTGGGACTTTCTCCTCTGGTGCGACCAGTAGGATTGTCAGGTACTCCCTGTTTATCTCCCGGGGCTGGAGAACGTGCGAGCAGATGCGCTCTCTCGCCGGATCCTGGCCCCGCACGAGTGGATGCTCGACAGGCAGATTTTCACAGTAATCTCTCCCAGTTGTGCGGGTGCGTTCCAGGTGGATCTGTTTGCGTCCGGCGGGACTCATGAGACACCCGTGTTCTGCTCTCGGATACGGACCCAGGGTGTTGGCTGCCGGCGCCTTCCTGCTGGATTGGACGGGCAAAGTGCTCTGGGCGTTCCGCCGTTACCACTCATTCCCCATGTCCTTTCACAGCTGTCCACCCAGCCAGCTCGGCTACTTGTGCTACTGGCACCGCTTTTGGCGTCACAGAGCTGGTTTCGGTAATTCTCAGGTTTCTAGCTCAGCCTCCTGTTCTATTACCTTTACGACTGGACATTCTCACTCAGAGCGGGCCCACCCAAATCCGCAGTTCAGTGGGTGGCTTGGCCTCTGTCGGAGTCTAGCTTCTCGAGAGCGCGAATTCCTGCAGCAGTTGCAGACACAATTCTGGCGAGGCGGAGTTCGACAAGCGTTCGATGCGAGGGATAGGTGGTCCCGCTTATGCGCGCTGGTGTTCAGATAGGGGATTGCAGATCCCTTTTCTGCGGATTTAGTCCAGTATTGGAGTTTTGCAAGCTCGTTTGGAAGAAGGCCTGGCGGACCGACCATTCGTGGCTACTCCACCACTATTTCCACTTTTCACACACCTGTCGATGGTGCTCTTCTGGGGCAGCACCCTCTCGTCTGGCGCTTTCTTGCTGGCGCGGAGCGGATTCGACCTGGCTCAGGCGAACCAGTCCACCTTGGGATTTGTCAATTGTGCTAGATTGGCTGTCGGTCCAACTTTCTCACACCTATCGGCTATTTCCATTCAGTTGTTAACTTGGAAGGCTGTGTTTTGGTGGCGGTAACATCTGGGCGTAGGGTCGGTGATTTACATGCTATGTCGTCCGACCGGCTGACTGTGTTTCACCGGATCGTGTCAGTATTAAGCCTCCCAGATGCCTTACCGACCCGAAGGTCGATCCAGCTTTCCATGTGACAGCTCCTATCGAACTTCCTACTCTTACCCAGCCTTCCACATCGGGGACCACTCCCTCTGAGCACTCACCCATTGGATGTCCGTAAGGCGCTCAAAGTCTATATCAAGCGAATGCAGGGGAATCCGTCACGGGTACCCAGCTGTTCTGTTATT